AAATTATAACAATCTATATAGTAATAGTTAAGAAACACTACCTCAAAAACATACTAGAATTGTAGGTTTACGAGGTTCTATGGGTCACGTGGGGCACACTTCTAGGTCTTGGCCCCAACTTTGACTTCAGTGCATAACATCTGCCTTCTCGAGCTTGCGTATCCAACATGTCAACAACAGGGCGTGATAGAGCATGCATGTGCATCAGCTATATGACCAGGTCTCAAAGGGCCAATGCAGCTGTGGTCGCGTCTCGAGGGCGTGGATACCAGCGACCCCGTCTCGATCACCACTTGCCTCCTTGAAATCATCTCCTTGGATGGAGGTGGACGATGCACTTAGAAAGTGAATCACCATGATTCTCGCATGATCCTCGATGCTATCACACGATCGACACCCATTCCATTGCATCCGAAGGCACAAAGTCCTTCCGCACATCCTCCACAAGCCCATGGACATAACTCTCTCCCACCAGAGTATACCTCTTCTCACCAATATTCTCTCCTCCGTTCTCAGCTCTCCTCATCACAAACGGCACCGCACACCCTGGAACTGTGAGGACCTGGTCTCCTCCCTTCGCAAATCCGCCCACCAACGCTACAAACCCTTTCTCAGTCCAACAAAGTCTCCTTCCCTTCAACGCATTCCTCAAAGCAGTATTCAACGCCCTGAAAGTCCTCCCATTCTTACCACTTTGAAAATGCTCAAACGTCAGAACTCCTCGCTTCGCAGGCCTCTTTTGTCTCGCAGTATACGTCTGTCCTGGTGTCGAAGTACTGAGCTGGTCGCAAAAGAAACTAAAGATCTCAGTGTATGCTTCTGAACAGGTATTCTTGCCTTCGATGTCGTCTTTTCCTGCGACGAGGGTAGAGCAGAAGGAGTGCCAGAATTGGGAATTGGAGAAGTATGAGGAAATTGAAGGTTTGGCGGGATGTGGTTGTTGGAGAAAGTCGATGCAGTTTTGGAGGGTGGCGTTGGTGTTTAGAGGATCCTGGAGGGAGAGATGAGGGTCGTTGAAGACTTCTGAAAGTTGGGTGATTTTATCTTGAGGCTTTGCGAGGACATGAATTATCATGTCTGATTCGGAGATCCTGAAGACGGCTTGTCCGTTGGTGTTACCTGGGCGGTAATGAGCAAGACACGAAGTCCTGTATGCCAGAGCAACTGTGATTCGTGGTTTCGACCAGTCTGGTACCCACGAAGAAAGCTTGCTTGTCCCCGGATCCGTATCGTGATCGATACAAGCCAAAATGCTCGTCATATTATGCTGAACCATTCTTAGATCCTGATCTCCAGCAGCGATCCTGTTGTCGATAGCTGCAACAGCCTGCTTCACCTCATGCAAAGCCACCTCACCATACAACTTCTCCTTCGGCTTGCTATAATCCGGCACAACATCACTATCGCAAAGACCCAGCACACCGTATACCTTGTCCACCGGCTTTTCCACTCCAGCATACCTCGTATCAACCAACCATCGAAACATCGACTCCGTCCCGTTGCTCGTGTCAGAGTAGTTCTTCGCCGAATAGATCTCCGCCGCAACTGCCAAGCCTGACTTTCCTTTGACATCAAATTCATCATCGAAGATGCCTAAGTCATGAATTCCCATGCAATACCCCGCAAAATCCTCCCAAGAAATCGTGTCCCGTCCAGCCATCAAATACAATTCTCGTGAAAGAACAGCTTCCTGTATAATCCACGTCCTCTGAAACCAAGGCTGCCTCAACAAAGCCCTCAGGCTCAGCATCGTCTCCGCGTCCTCACCTTTAGGCCTTCTCAAATGCTTCAATTCCTCATCTAGCAATTCTTCGCTTCCCATCGTCGCCTGCGATAAGCCTTGCAAAGCCTTGAAAGCTTCTTTGCCAGGTTCTTTACCCAACCAAATCACCGTATTCCGAGATTTAGTATATACCATGCCCATCAACTTCACCTGACTTTCCTGATCAGCAGGACTTTGCTGATTAATACATAATTGATCAGCCCACAAGGTAACTTCTTTTTCTGGGTCTCGAAGATGTCGAAGAATACCGTCTAATGTGATTGTGATCATCTTAGAATGTCCAGAGACTGTGATCGGTCGAATGAAATTATCGTCGCCCCAACAGTAGCTGATGGCCGTGTATGGGACTTTTTTCTGTTTGATGAAAGAAATCCCGAAGGAGCACGGGAGACGCCAGCCGGAGGAGTCTCGTGTGTAATCAAATTCTACGCTGATTTGTTCGAGGGTGGCGATAAGGGGTGCGTCCATGGGGCCTGGGCCGAGTTTGAGGACGCGGATGTGGTGGGGTGGGGTTAGTTGGTACAATGTGCTGTTGGCGTCTGTAGGTCCTGGTGTTGGATCCGGTGCTTGGGTTTTCCGTTTCATGAATGCGGTCAATTGTTCTGTGAGGAACTTCGAGGTTTCTGGCGTCGCGACATTCTCGACGAGGGCTTCATCTCCGCAAGCTATTTCGAAGCCGGATGGGATGGCTCCCAGTTCGGGATTGTCTTGCTCCCAAAAGGCGGAGGTGTCCCAGGCTCCTAGTTCGGCCATTGCGCTACAGGTCGAGCGAACGGATTATGTCACCTGGGTTAGTTCTCATACGACACTGCAAATACGCAGTCAGTACCGAGTGCAGATTGCGGCCGAAGTGGGGCTGAAGGATCGTAGATATGGACTCCTAGATGCACTTGGCCACAAGGCCAAACGTTATATCGCCGCATAGCTCTGCGACTATTCCTTCATCATGTCTAAGTAGTATCCGAGTGTTGACAGATGAAGAAGAGTTGAAAGAGTGGAACAAGTGGATGGAAGAGGACGAACACTTTGCGGAGATCAAACGCGCGAAGTGAACATCTTGATGGTGAAGGATACAACGGGTGAGTCGAGCTGGTCTTGGTCTTCATAAGCACGCCCGGGCCCTTCAGCGTTGCTGCTCAGAAAAGATGTATTGCTTCTCATGAGACCTTCTAAGTTTCCGGCGAGATAGGCCGGTGATATCGATACTGCAAACACCATGAGACGAGGGAACAAAAATCGCCTGCCCTGAATACTCTGAAGAAAGGAAAGGGAGAATCAATGAAAAGGAAGATGGCGATAAATCCGCGTGGTGATGTTCGGGCAGTTGGCGCGTTGTTGTGCTGACAAAGTGCAGCACCGGGGAGCTGTCCGGCCGACCATTGCGGGGCGTATGATTGGTGGAGGTTGAGCTGTCGGGCAATGTCATCATGGTGAGCTGTTGGAACACGATCAATCGGAACTCATGACGAGTCCATTGACGAAGCCATGCAACGCGCCTGGTCCTTGTCGCTCCCTCACCAGCTGCACACCACTCACTACTGCACTTTCTATACGCACTTAGTTCATGTTCTCGACACGCAGCCTGCTCCACATCCTGAGGAACGCTGCTGCCACTTCGACTTTCACCCCGCGAGCTTTCTCCACGAGTTTCAGAATCATGGCCACCGAATTCAAGCTGAAGGGCTTGACCAGCATCGACCTGAAGAATGGTCAGACACAAGAGGTAGAGGTGGAAGGTGTCCAGGCGAGCGAGGACAAGTTGGCTACTGTTCTGCTGGCCAAGGTCAAGGATGAGGTGCATGCTCTCTCACCAAAGTGCACGCATTACGGAGCACCTCTGGCCAAGGGTGTCTTAACTGGCGATGGCCGTCTGACGTGTCGTAAGTAGTTCTTTTCACCCATCCTGACTCGTGCGCGGCAAACACGACTTCGAAGCTGACATTGATATCTAACAGCCTGGCACGGTGCCTGCTTCAACGTTGCAACCGGCGATATCGAGGATGCCCCAGCTCCAGACCCATTGCAGAAATTCGAGATCGTTCAGAAAGATGGTGGAGTGTACATCAAGGGCAACGAGGCAGACATCAAGGCTGCACGGAGAACACTGAGCATCAAGTGCAAAGCCCAAGGGCAGGACAAAGTAGTCGTTGTTGGGCGAGGTAGTGGTGCCATGGGTCTCATCGAAGGTCTGCGAGCTGGTGGATACAAGGGACACATCACATCCATCGCTAGCGAGGGCCACCCACCCATTGACAGGACGAAGCTGTCTAAGGCACTCATGGACACGGCCGACAAGGTTCAATTCAGGAAGCCAGACTTCTACAAGGAGGGTGATGTTGAGTTCGTCAACGACATCGTGACTGCGATCGACTTCAAGAGCAAGAAGATCAAGGGCGAGAAGACAGAGACAGACTACACCAAACTCATCCTCGCGACTGGTGGCACACCAAATCAGCTTCCATTGCCAGGTTTGAAGGGCGACTTGAAGAATGTGTTCCTCCTTCGCACACTCGAGAATGTACAAGGGATCCTTGGTGCAGCAGGTGAAGATGGAGGCAAGAAGATCGTTGTCATCGGCAGCTCCTTCATCGGTATGGAGGTTGGCAATGCTCTTGCAGGCAAGAAGCACCAAGTCTCGATCATCGGTATGGAGGGCGAGCCATGCGAGACCGTCTTCGGCGCCACAGTCGGCAACATCTTCCGCAAGCTGCTAGAGAAGAACGGCGTCAAGTTCTACATGAAGGCGGAGGTCGAGAAGGGTGAGGAGTCAAGCTCGAAGAGTGGCTACATCGGCAGCGTGAAGCTGAAGGACGGCATCTCACTTGAGGCAGACGTCGTCATTGAGGGCGTTGGTGTCAAGCCAGCGACCAAGTTCCTGCAGAACAGCGACGTCACCCTCGAGAAGGATGGCTCAATCCAGACTGACGAGAGCTTTGCTGTCAACGGCCTCAAGGACGTCTGGGCCATCGGAGACATTGCGAGATATCCATACCATGGACCTGATGGAAACGGCAAGCCTGTGCGAATTGAGCACTGGAACGTCGCGCAGAACCAAGGACGAAGCGTTGCCAACTCCATCAACAACCCCGGGTCAAAACCCAAGCCCTTCATTCCTGTCTTCTGGTCAGCTCTTGGTGCTCAACTGCGCTACTGCGGACACACGCCAAACGGCTACGACGATGTCATTGTGCAAGGCAACACAGATGTCAGCGAAGGCAAGCAGAGCTTTGTTGCATACTATACCAAGGGTGATACGATCGTGGCTGTTGCGAGTATGATGAAGGTATGTCTCGACTACGCACCAGATCTGGTATTTCCTCACACCGCGTTCCCTTACTGACTTGATTGTAGGACCCATACATGACACAGAGCGCCGAGCTGATGCGCAGAGGAAAGATGCCCAGCAAGAGCGAAATCACAAAGGGCGTGGATATCATGGAAATCAGCGTTCCAGCTGAAGTGAAGATTTGAAATGAATGAATGACTGAAATGGAGCATTGTAGATAGATGATACCTTGATGATCGTGCATGATTTGAAGATGAATGGAAAGTCACTCCATGGCGAGATGCACCAATTAAAATTGGCAGTGACATATCTGAAACTCTGTCTCTGCATTTTGATCCAGCTCTACAAGCATGAAATATTCCTTATCAATGGCTTTGTTGTGAATGGTTGGCGAGAAGTCAGCATTCTGTGGCATATGATTGGCACGTTTTTACATGCGGCTAAGGGATGTCGGTTTGAGGCCGCAGTTGCCTCCTGGCGAACGCCTTTCGCCGCTTCCCGCTTTCTGGGTCCGCACTTCTTTTGCATTTCTACAGTGTTCGTCTTCTTCCGATCTCAACATGTTGTCCAGCAGGATGACCATATGGCATGCATGGACGTGGCGAGCATGGGATTGCTCCAGCGTGCTGAACGCAAAAAGGTATACGTGCAACGAAGGAGCTGAAGAGCATACCACAAGCGAACTTCAACAACAGTCAAGGCTCTCTAGCTATGCGAGCTTTTCTTCGTTCGATCAATGATCAATCTGCAGACGATGCGCCCTCAGGCCATAGAGTTTCTCTCTCCCAGATGGGTTGCGGCGTACGCCAAACAGAGCAGCACATCCCAATTTCAAGCCACAGGGCCCGAGAGGTAGAGTAGCTGCAGTTCAGTCGCTCGAGGCTGTAGAACATGGACTCGGATGACAAGACTGCCGGAAATAGTCTGCGTGCCGTCGAATTTCGTATGTGGTGGAAGAGGCTATTTCTATGTCGCTCATTTTGTCCTCACTGCCAGGGTCATCTGGACGGCACGTAGGTCCTCACCCTCATCTTCGCCGTCGTTCTCCATCTCCAAATCCTCCATGTCCGAATCACCGCCGGCATCCTCAGCCTCAGCATCCTCCTCATTTTCAGCCGAAACGGCTTCTTTCTCCATTCCTTTTCCTTCACTCTCCGCCAACTCAGCTTTCTCCCGCAGAATCGCTGCCCTCACTCGCTCGTTTCTCTTCACTGCTTTGGAAATGTATCGCCTCACGTCGGGCAGAGGCATTTTGGCCTTACGGCAAGTCTTGTAGAGGCCGCGGCATTGGTATTCGCTCAGATATATGTTGTAAGGTGGCTCGCGCATAGCATCGCGGATGATAATCCAGAATTCTAGAAGCTTAGGTTAGTTCTTTGGCTAGGAAGTGCGCGCACTAGTAAGTTAAGGAGAATAGTACCTTGTGATGATTGAAGGACTGTTTTCACAGTCTTACTTCGTGCTATCTCGGCTTTGATGCATTCGCCGACAGCGTTCTTCTGTTCTTCGAGTCTGTCGGCCATTTTGTGTGTGAAGGCGAAGCGAGGCGAGGCGAGGCGAGAGCGGAAGGGGTGGTGAGGTGGTGAGGTGGTGATGTTCTGGAGAGGGTTTGGTTGGAAAAAGTGCGAAGTTTTGTGGGCGGCGGCGGCGAGGGGCTCATATGCAGCTAGTGCAAGACGTGAGCAGTGTTTGTTGCTTCAGTTGTAAATCTGAAGGTTGAAGCTGTCGCGCGTGTCGAGCTTCACTTCAGTTCTCACTTGGCTTCACTTCTGCTGCCGACTTGGGGAGCTCTCTGTCTCAGGTCACCACTCGCTGCCAACGGATGTAAACCTGTGCGGAAAGTTTCAGATAGCAGTTCAAGGAGGGAACAGCTATTTCCGTTGTCTCTGTCGTTCGAATGCATGCTGCTTGCTCATAGGAGGTAGTAGCAGTGGGTTTGTGCGGCTCAGACACTCCAGAGAGAGCCGAAAGCAGTCCGCCGCTCTCGCTATCCAATGCAGAATGCTGCCGACCGGCGCAATTTCCAGCCGAGCCACTTGATCCCAGAATGCCGGGGAAAGCAATGAGTCTTGTTCTACTCTCGCAATCGAGCGCTTGTCGCCGCCAAGAGGTGTAGAGTCCAGCCAGCTCGTCTGGTTCCGAAATTCCGGGAAAAGCGCAGTATTTTGTTTCACTCGAGTAGCTCAGCTGAACGAATTGATTGGAAAAAGCAAGAGAAAGTCCCGTAGCTGCCTTCCACTCCTACGATCGAACACATCTTGCTGCCAACAAATATTGATCCCACCTGCGGAAATTGATTGTGAGATCTCACAGTGATCGCAAAGTCTCCCTTGCTTCGACGGTCGAACCTATTCTTGCTGCTGGGATGTGTGATCGGATGTACTTGCAACAGGACCTAAGCTCGACTTGACTCCGTCATCGCGTGTTGAGCCTACAAGGGTAATTCTTGTTTCGCGAGCGGATTGGAGCTGCAAAAAGGGTGGCTGCGATTGTCGCGATTCCATCAAAGCTTCAGGTAGTTGAGAAACGGTACTGCCGCGTGGCTCGAAGAGCCTGCACTGCCTGATAAAGCAGACTGTCCTTAGCAAAACGAGCACAGGCATCCATTCTAGTATCTCTCGAATGGAGCGTGGACCTGGAGATCCTTTAATTGCGACCGGCAACAAGGTTTTTGAAGCCAGTGCAGACTCCGGTAGCAAAAAGGAGTCGTCCAGTGAGAAGAAGCAAGAATTGCCCGGCATTCGAACCGCTGACCTTGCGCCAAAATAGCAAAACGACAAGTTGACGATCCTGTTTATGGGGATCTGCCGGAACTAAAGTCGACGATGAGTCGCCAACTTGTCTGAGTAAGCATGTTTTCTTAGAACATATTAACGTCGGTTGCCTACCACCAAACGTTAGCGAGCAGAGAAATCATGATATTCGAGGAGTACAGTAAGGGACTGCTCCGTCTGGCAACAACAAAACAGGGAACGCAGCGGAAATGCTACGCCACACGCACTGACGCTTGGGACGCAGATGCCAATCTGGCACAGGCGGAGCGATGGTGCGAGGTCATGCAAAACCTCTCCTGCACCGTATATCGACGATGGTCCCCCGCACGCTTGCGTTGGCGTTGCGTGCTGTGAGGTGCGCGCTGCGGATGCTGTCTATCCTTTGTGTCAGCGTAGCGAGAAGTTGGGGTAACCCTAGCGGGTGTTGCGGTGGTTCCTTGATAACGCCCTGTTGCTGCTGCTGCGGCGAACCGTTGGCAGCGTCCAGAGACTATTGTAGTTAGACGGCCAAAAGATTCTTGTCGAGAAGCCGTCTCTAGTGCTGCACTGCGCTGCCTCAGCCATCACAGTCCTGTAAGCGCGTCAGTCGCGCCTCGAGTCAAAAGCTGCGAAGTAAAAATAAAAGGCAAAAAGCGAATGGAGGGAAAACCAATGTGACTAGCATTCGAACTCCTGACCCGCCCGGATTCTGCACCGAACGGCAAAACGACAAGTCGACAATCCTGCTTATGGGGATCTGCCGGAACTAGAATCGACGATGAGTTGCCGACTTGTCTGAGTAAGCATGATTTCCCCGGACATATCAATGTAGCAAAGAGACCAGCGGCACTTCTCGCAATACGGCACCGGCGTGGCATACTTGCGTGCGGCGAGTGCACGGTACGATGGAGTGGCGCGACCTGGGGTTATGTTGCTAGCTATACTGCGGCGAAAAAGAGACAGCGATATCTCGCTGTCTTAGCTAGCAATTCGCGAGTGCGGGGCCTCTTGGGGGAGATGTTTGATATCCTCGAGTCAGAATGTGTAAGCCAGAAGCAAAAAAAGGCGGCAGGTAGAAGAAAATGTACCACGCACCAAGCATATTTCGAACCCCTGACCTCCACGCGACTTGCGAATTTCGCCATAGAAAAGCAAAACGATAAGCCGACGGTCCCATTTATGCGGGTCTACCATTTACTCAGCGATTAGCCGCCGACTTATCTGAGTAAGCACAATTGCTTGGAATATATGAATGTCATTCTCTGCCGCACGGACTTGCGCCCGCCCACAGTGGTTCGCTCCCTTCATGACGCTGCCTCGTCGGCACCCCAGAGCTGTTGAAAGCACTTGAGGCTGGCGAGTGCTCCAAGAACGTCTGTTCCGTCCAGACAGCGATCTTCCGGTGCCTCCGGTCTTCTGTTTGACTCCTTGCGACAACGGTCCGCAAGTCGAAGAAGAAAGTGCCCGTCTGAATTGCATCACGCGGGAAATAGTGCCCGTTCGAGCCAATCTGCAGGAGTTGCAAGGGGTGCACAACGCTGCGCTTCGCAGAGACCTTCATAACGTTTCCGATCCAATGGCTCTGTGCCGCTTCTGATGCCATTTCAGGCTTCAGGGAGAGCAATCTTGTTATGGAGTGCGACGTGGCAGAAGTTTCGAGTGGAGGCAGCGCCCTTTATTGCCATTGACCGGCGTTCGCGCTGTCGAATCGAGCTGCAAAATCCTGACAGTGGCACGTATTAGCTCCGCGAAACTGAGACCAGGCACGCCACGCTCCACCACCTCACAATCCTGCGGCAGGCATCGAACTCACTAGGGATACGAGCCTCCAAATCAAGCAGTGTTCAACCGCTGTGGCGAAGAAGACGGCGAGTGAGGACGCCTTGCGAAGGACGCAAATCAGCTCGCGTCTGCTCTTCTGCGACTTTGGAAGTCTATATGGAACTGGCGGTGCTCTTCTTCCGGACTAGCGAGTTGAGTGACCCTGAATAGGATGCCAGAGGGAGAAGAGCCGATTGTCAGGAGCCTCCTGCAAAAGAGGAAGCTACAGGGCAGTGTGCCACGCCACTTCCGCTATACCGCTTGACGAAGCCCGACTGAAGCATGACGCGTGAGTCGGGATAGAATTGCTCCAGGACGAACGCGTTTGCGTTCTCAACCAGATGACATTGGGCCTAGCACAGGTGCATGACCAAGCTTCGACCCAGACAGTGCTCATGCAGACGGAGGCATCCGTCCTTCGTGAAATCTAGTTCATGATCCGGTGCTCAGAGTGGAGCAGATGCGGCAGAATTGGCCTCAATCAAGGCTCGATTACTCGCGAATAACGCGTAAAAAGCTGTGGTATCTCAAATCCAGACATGCTCTTGCCCTAACAACGCCAATTTCTGGACTGTCTCCGTCCTGCAATACACTTTTACCAGGACCCTATTTGTATTGCGGCATACCCTGTGGCTGCTGGTACTGCCCTCCTCCTGCTCCTCCGCTCATGTTTGGCTGACCTCCGTAGGGATTCCCAGCATTCCAGCCCTGATGCGGCCCGCCGTGTGGCTGCTGTTGTTGCGGTGGCTGCATCGGCACTCCTCCCTGATCAATCTGTTGCATTTGTCGCACCGCATCATCCGAGTTCTCGACGTTGGTTTCGAATGGGCAGATATGGCATTTGATCAATCGGTAGGGTTTGAGGGAGAATGGGATGATCGGGACGAAACAGAATGTGAACCATTCCCTGTGTACCAAAGCGTCAGCTCGTGGGAGCTCATGTTGCGACCTTGATGGCGCTCTACTCCTTTCTGGGAGTTGCGTTCTTTTGTGCTCCCAACTCACCATTTTGTACAGATCTTGCATGACCAATTCCCGCATCGCCCACACTGAACGGTGACGTTCTCGTAGCCTTTGAGTAGTTTTTGGAACGCTATCGCATCCGAAGTGTTAGCGAGACATGGGAGCTGTCGTGTGTCGCGCGTGGCGCGTAGGTGACGTACTGTGCGTTCCGCAGGTGAAGATGAAGGCCATACTGTCTGTCGCGGGTGTCTGATCGAGGTGTCGCTGTCGGTTATGGCTCCGTTGGCAATACTGGATGTGTGCTTTGGCTCAAGGAAAGACTGCAGTCAGTTGTGGCTTTGGCGATGATGTCGTCGCAAGATTGCGCGGCAGAGGAGCTTGGGAACGCTCGGCGCGAGGCTCAGCAACTTTCGCTTTCGGATTGAAGCATACGGCTGCATGCCGGCACATGGCTGTCGATCTGGGGAAATTTGCATGGGTATCAAGCGATGGTTGTTGCCGCGAGCGCGTGAAATGAGCTTCGTTATGGTATAAAGATATCATTTACTTGCTACGTGAACAGACAAGTGAGGCAGTTCCACTGAAGAAGCACGACTCAAGGGTCCAAGCCGCGAAACAGCTTTTATTGAGTGCCAAGCTATTTGGGCTATGGGCTGAACTGCATGTGAAGTATGGAGAAGCACCTCAGTCCCCTTTTGAATTCCTCGCCGACATGACTGTTCCCATCTACTGCGTCTTGAACAGCAGGATTGCGCAGTGACCAAGGTAGAAATAGATGAAATGCTTCGTCTCTGCGACACGAGTCAGCGGAATGGCTCAAGTGGGGCTGGAACAGCCTCATCAGACAGGAGAGCGCGGCTGACAACTCACCATGAGTGACGAATGACCCAAAGTTCCTGCCCACGATGCAATGCCATGTTGCACCCTTGCGTTCATCGAACTGAGGGAAAAGTCAGATGTTGATCGAAGGTGGATGTGCTTTCAGTCGTGACTGCGGGGACGTACCGTGCGCTTGATGTGCTGAGCGATTTCCTATTCGATTGTTAGCAACTTCCTCAATCCTGGATCTCAGGATACGAGAGCGTACCTTCTCAATGGTGAACTTGTTCATTGCTTCTTGTGCTGTAAATCAGTCAGCATTGGAGCTTTTGGGGGAAAAATGCCCGCTACCCACCGACTTCAATGGCTTCTTGCTGCATGTCCTCGTTCTGCAAAGCATTTGGTCAGTACCCAGACTTCGTCGCCTAGTCTCGCTATCGAGGAGTCTTGCGCACCATGTCCACCGATTTGATCTGAGCTGCAATGCTGGTCAGTCCAGAGTTGCCTACCACACCGCAATGCCACCGAACTCACCCTCAAGCTTCTCGTCATGCTTGTCGTCTGCCATCTTGATGGGATGTGCGCGTGTGGCCAGAGTATATATGTGCAGCTGTACAGTTGGTTGTATCAAAGAATCGCGTCGAAGTGCGATTTCGGGTGGGAGTTGAGGGTGAAGTTGGGTGACGCTGTGACGCCCGCGATGGCTGGGATGCGAAGTGGAAAACAGCGGGAAGCGGGCCGCCTCCCGCAAACTTTTCCCTCACGCTTTCAGTTTCGTATGCTCGAAAAATCACTTCCGCCCCATCCTCACCACATTCCCACCCACCATGGCTTCGTCACGCATCTTCGTGAAGGGTCTCCCGCCCACCTTTGACGAAGCCCAATTTCGAAAGCACTTTGGGCAAAAAGGGCAGATCACAGATGCAAAGATCTTTCCCAATCGTCGCATTGGCTATGTTGGCTACAAAACCAGCGAGGATGCCGAACAGGCGGTCAAGTACTTCAACAAGACTTTCATTCGCATGTCTCGTATCGGCGTAGAGATGGCCAAGCCCATTGACGAGAGCCTTGCTACCAGACGTCATCCTACAGCTAAGGTCACAGGTGCTAACCAGCAGACGGCTACCGAGAGCAACAAGCTGAAGCGCAAGCGCGACAGCGAGAGCAAACCCAAGGATGACGCCACCGAAAACGACCCCAAATTGAAAGAGTTCCTCGACTCGTACAAATCGAAGTCCGACAAGAAGGCGCTCGAGAACCAGGCGATGGTCGCAGGAGCAGAGCAAGACGAGGAGGCTGCAGTCGTAGAGGCTGGGGAGAGCGATGACGAGTATGAGCAGGTGCCAAAGAAAACGAAACGAACAAGATCAGAGACGAAGCCCATCCAGGACACACCGATGCAAGATGCGGCGGTGGAAGTGGTCGAGGCAGAAGCTCCTTCAGGCGATGCTGCGACAGATCTTGGGCAAGATGGAAGCAATGATATACCGGCAGTCTCTGATGCGGAATGGGCTCGTTCTCGGACAAGCCGCCTGCTTGGCCTGCTGGAGGATGACGAAGAAGAAGCTGTGCCCACGAAGCCAGCTGAATCTGATTCGGAAGCCGAGTCTCCACAGCAGGATGATGCTCCCGGCCAACGAGAGAAGACACCCGCGGAGCCGGAATCCTCAATACCCACACCGCCTGCGGAAGACGATGACGAACACGAGGACCAAGACATCAAGCAGGTGCGCACCACGATGCGCCTATTCGTGCGCAACCTGCCATACGATGTCAAGTACGAAGACCTCGAGGGTCAATTCGAACCATTTGGCAATCTTGAGCAGGTCAGTGAATTTCATTTCATCTCACCCGTTTCCTGATGATCTCCTGATAGGGACAGCTTATGCTTCGGCACATGCTTAGACCAAAAGAGGACCGTATTTTAGTAGATGCTTCGTCGTTTCTGATAATCTCACACTACGCACAGTTTTCAAAATGCTCATGCAAGACTACGTGGCTAATTCTGTTGCATAGATACACATTCCGCTAGACAAGACGTCCGGTGCAGCGAAGGGCTTTGCTTATGTTCAGTACACAGATCCGGACTCTGCCGAAAGAGCTTTGATTGAGCTCGATGGGCGCATTTTCCAAGGTAGACTGATGCACATCCTTCCTGGCGCTGCAAAACGAGAGAAGAAGCTTGATGACTTCGACCTCGCCAAACTTCCACTGAAGAAGCAGCATGAGATCAAGCGGAAACGAGAAGCTGCGAACACAGTCTTCAACTGGAACGCTTTGTACATGAACCAAGATGCTGTCATCTCCAGTGTTGCCAATCGACTCGGTATTGCGAAGTCCGAAGTTCTCGATCCAACTTCGAGCGACGCTGCCGTCAAGCAAGCTCATGCTGAGACACACATTATTCAAGAGACAAAGTCTTACTTTCGACAACAAGGCGTTGATCTAGACGCGTTCAAGAAAAGCGCGCGTGGGGACACGGCCATTTTGGTCAAGAACATTCCAGCGGACTGCAGCCGAGATGAGCTGCAGCGACTCTTTGACGAGCAGGGAGACGTCAAGCGATTCCTCATGCCACCTGCTGGCACAATAGCGATTGTGGAGTACAGCAACCCTGCGCAGTGCAAGGCCGCATTTGGGACATTGGCGTATCGAAGAGTGAAGTCGTCCGTGCTGTTCTTGGAGAAGGCACCCAAGGATGTCTTCTCTGCCAAGCCGATCGATGATCCCGCCACATCCGCAACTGCTGAAGGTGTTAGCAAGCTCTCGACGTCTGACCTGAAGGACACTGTCGTGCCTGACACTGCAGGTTCGGCGACGTTGTTTGTGCGCAATTTGAATTTTAGCACCACGACGGACGTCCTTACCCAAACATTCAAGGCTCTCGATGGGTTCCTCAATGCTCGGGTCAAGACCAGGGTCGATCCTAAACGAGGTGAACTTAGTATGGGCTTTGGCTTTCTCGAGTTCAACAGTGCCAAACAGGCTCAGGATGCACTGCGTGCTATGGACGGCTACAGTCTTGAAGGTCACAAGCTGCAGATCCGCGCTTCTCACAAAGGTGAAGATGCCGCGGAGAAGCGCAAGAAGGCTGATAAGGCTAAGAAGGCAGCTACGACTAAAGTCATCATCAAGAACTTGCCATTCGAAGCAACGAAGAAGGATGTTCGAGCCCTATTTGGCGAGTACGGTCAACTGCGAAGTGTTCGTGTGCCGAAGAAGATGGACCGCGGAGCCCGAGGTTTCGCGTTTGCAGACTTCACTACTGTCAAGGAAGCACAAAGTGCAATGGATGCTCTGAAAGATACTCACTTGCTGGGCCGAAGGCTCGTGCTGGACTTTGCTGCTGAAGATCCGGAAGATGCCGAAGCAGAGATTGAAAAGATGCAGCAGAAGGTTGGCGCGCAAGTCAACAAGGTTGCGTTGCAGAAGCTTGCTGAAGGTGGCAAGAGGAGGAAGTTTACTACTCAGCAGGACGCTGACGAGGATGCTTGAGAAGCGTGATATCCGAAACATCAATACAAGTAACTCATCCATCGACAACCAGTCATGTGAACTCGCTGCTGGCAGCCGGTGTTTTTACATTGTTCTCATCTGGCCTCTGCTCAAACCACTCACATCGCAAAAGCGCTATCCTAATACGGTTTATGCAGTCACGTGGACTACTGCTCAGATCGAGAACTACATATGACACATCCCTTGCGTGGCTGATGCGACCTTTTCTGCAACCTTAGGCTACCGAGATGCAGTGTTCAAGTGCTTTGCAGACGATGACTTCAACAAAAACTCGAGCCGGACGTCGTTCGGAAAATACTGCCTTTCTATCTCGACGACACGGGCCAACACAATGCTTACATTCCGTCGCCTTCAATATCGCATTCCATATGCCACGCCGACTGTCTTACTTGGAGATTGGCCACCACTGCCAAGCCAATCCCCATCCCTCTCTCGATCGCTCTTCTGCCAGGCGTTACATCGTCGCCTTCGATGCCCTTGCACTCCACTTTGATGAGACCTGTCTGCACGGTCTGTGCGAACTCACCTGCTCATGCTGGCCACTTTTTGGTTGTGCAATCGGTACACTATCCGACCCACCTTTGCGCGCATGAGCAGAGGATGTGGCCGAGATTGCTGCTGTTCCTCCTGGGTCCCTGATGGCGACACAAGACTCTGTCAGCGCCACCCTTTGCCTGTCTAGATCATCGACCTGTATATACTGCCTATTCTGCGTAGCAACGACGGCGTCATCCGCGGTTTTGCTGCCTACCACGACGCTCTTTTTGATCACGCTCACCATAGTCATTCCTTTACAGTGTGCGTTCCTTTTGTCAGAGACATATCTCTACTCACTGCGACGAATCACGGCCTGAGCGGTTGAGAGGGCTCTCAGACATTCTTCGAAAGGGCGGCATTCTTGTTCTTCGTGCCTCGATCCGGAGCGGATTGCATGTCTTCTACCATGACGATGCTTCAGCCAACACCAGTGGTGCCCTCCAATGCACCGCTTCATCATCAGGAGTCATACACTCGATCATCAAGAGTGCTACAGGAACATTCGGGCAATCGACAGCAGGATTACTACGCCGCATCGGTAGATCAGAAGTATCCTGCTTCATACCTTACGGAGAACACTTATCCCGCCTATCAACAAGTTCCCCGCCCACTGCACACAAACACTCATTCGCTTCTACAACACAATCGACTTCGACACCCGCAGCAGAGGTTTCATCATGGACAGAGGGATCCTCAACAGATCAGGAAGGAGGCACGGTATCTTTTCCATCGCTTTCGATCATCAGATGGCTACATGAAGTATCGCAATCGACAACACAAGGAGGACAAGGGAGTTTCGGAGCAGAAGTGGCCCGATCGATTGGAGTATGCTTTCTTCGAGGGTACGTTCGTCACAATTCCATACCCTCGTGTCTAATGCTTACGTCTCATAGCACTTGTCAACTGGCCTCCCATGGGCCGAAGAAAGCTTCCACACAAAGATAAGCAACGCGGCCGCAACGAACTAATCGCCGACTATATCGAAGAACACACTGGCGAAGCTCGAACACGAAAGCAAGTTTCCAGCCACATCCAAGTACTGAAACCTTTCGTCGAATCCGATCCACACATCATGCGCTACCTCTCCAAGGAGGATTTGACCGGGCACAGTCACCGATATTACTACCAAGGAGGCGGACACTATCCAGTCGGAGGCCGAAGAGCATCACAATACCCTGCTACAGCACCCGGCAGTTACTCCACACGCAGCTCCATTGCCGCTGGAGCACCGTCAATGGAAACTGCGAACCTTTACCACACTCTGCCACAAATCAAACAGAGCCTTTCTGTCTTTCACCCGATCGCGTTCGAGATGTTTGTTCAACGGAAAGCCCCGGGTGCAGAGCCTGAACGACTACATACTTATACCAAGAATCTCCCAGCTCCGCTCAAAGACCACATACATCCTACTTGGGATGAGTTTACCTCCGAGTTCCCTCTTCTGGCAAGCTTGCATTCTGCTCGCCCCATTGACTGTAATGTTCTATTTGCTGAGGCTTCCATCGCTTTTCCAACAGGAACTTGGAAGGACAAGACAAATGTTGAGCTGGGCATCTCGTTGTCCTGTTCTTCGCAGCGACTCCCCCAGGACTCTATGGTGTTCTGCTGCAACCGATTCTACGAGAAGGGGGTTTTGCAGAAGGACTTCGGCAGTTCGCATCCGGTACCCTGGGATGATTGGGTAGATGATGGTGACGGGTCGGCAAGGCTGGAGACATTGATCAAGTTCGGTTCTACATTCTGGGCGATGAAGCTGGGGGCTTTGGCAAACAAGCTGAAGAGTCCAGCTGCTGGATTGAGGGATGCCGTGTGTGGGATGTTCGGAAATACAACAGATGGTAGAGAGAAGGTCGACGAGGAGTTGAGAGATACAACGGCATTACAAGAGATTGTGATCAAGATGCCTGACGGGACTGGCCAGAGGTTGTTGCTCATCTACTGGAAATTCCGATTGAGTCGGGCGGAAGAAGGACGTGCTTATTGGAGACAGCTGAGTGTGCCGACTCCAGACTCGGCCAAATCGGAGGCAAAAGAAGTGGCTCTCTATGGAACAGATTATGCTGAAGCCGCTGCTCCATACTTGGACCTCAAGACCGACAGGGTGGACAGTGTCTACGAGTATCCTGGCTTGCAGACTTACGGTGCGGACGCATATGTATCTATGACACAACAACAACCGGCTACGCTACAATCGCCATTCAAGTACGAAACATCGTCTTCATCCAATAGCGCTCTCAATTCGGCAGTCTGGTCCTCATCAAACGACTTCGATACGAACGACGGAACAAACACAGCACCAAACTCTGCCGTGGAACTTTTCCCGCCAGATGGCGACAATGCATTCGACTTCACTGGTGGGAACATCAACATCTCCTACGACAATATGGACTTTAGTGCCTTTGATGCATCCGCATTTGACTTTGGTGCCAGTGCAACAGCGGACTTTGCCACCGATCCTGCTCTGGAGAATTACGGAACACAGGACTACAGTCATCACGACTTCGACACGCAGTGGTACGAAAGCTTCGATGGCTCTCAGCAGCATCATCTACCACAAAGCCAGACGCCTGCTCCACAAGCTGCCATGTCTGCCGGCGCGACTCTGGAGGACGGCGACGCCCACAGCAGTACCGAACAGCATGACCCATACAGTTTCAATCTCGACGTCCCTGCGACATGCGGTGTCGAATCCCGATCCACAACAGCAACGTTTCAAGACTACAGCGTAACCCCATATGACGACAGTCAACAATACAGCCAAACCTACGGCATCTCACCACACGACAGCCAGCAAGCTTATGGTGGTGCCGGGCAGGAGGCGGTAATCAAGGACGAGGACGCTTTGGCAGCTTTGGCAGATGCGAGCGGTTACATGGCGCATATTGGCCAACATCACCAAGATGGTCATCAGCAGCACTCGCAGCATGATGGGGTGCAGACCCGGCAGGGAAGCGAGGGGTATGATATCTATGACTTTCAGCATCAGCAGTATCATGCTTCGTAGGCATGATACTATTGTGGCTTGATGATGATAATGCGGATGAGATAGTTATGATAATGGATAATGTTGAGATCGACGGTCCACCGAAGGATGGAATTCGAGCTGATAATTTTCTTTGTGACCAAGCGTCCTGTCGACCGTCGAGCCTTAGCTTCCCTGATTCAAAACCTGCAGCCGCAACCTTGGAGCAGCGCGGCTTCCAAGACCCAAGTGCGCTGAATGTGGCAGGTGTCAATAATAAGTCCATGATTGCTATCTCTGCCACTTGCCATTTCTTGTGCTGAACCAGCGGCACTTGACGTTTGAGCTGTTGTCGAGGTAGACTGCTGCTCAAGGGTATACATTCCAGCGTTTTGCTACCTTTCGCCCGTTACTGCTCCTCGGTCAATGAGCACTTGCTGAATTTCAACGTGCCCGCTTTCACGAGCAAGATCCAACGCAGTTTGGCCGTTATGATTGACAGCGTTGATGATCAGCTTCTTCTCCTGGACGAGTGTTTGTACGACCTGCGTGCGTCCGTATTCAACCGCTCTATGCAATGGCGTCTCCCGGTCAACGGCTGCATTCACGTCTCCTATTCCCTCCTTAAGAATGAACTTGACGATGCCGTCGTGTCCATTCATGGCTGCGAGGAAGAGTGGCAAAGGCCTCAAATCGCTTACGTGAAACAAGTTCACTCTTCCGGTGCTCCAAAGTAGCTTGGCCACTTCAAGATGTCCTCTTTCTGCCGCGCAGATGAAAGGTGTGCGTCCGCCACCGTGCCAGCCGTCTGCACTCGATGCACTGACAGTAAGAAGAGCCCTTACGACCTCGAGATGGCCCCCGTAGGCTGCATAGACGATCGGCATCCAGCGATTGCCGTCCTTTGCCAGTGTACCATCATTCTGCCAGCGCCACCTGGATAATTTTGCCTTCAGCTTTCCGCCCTGTTTGCTTCGAGCTATCAGTTCTGTGACTATGCTCAAAAGCCCGAATCGGGCAGCGACATGCTGTAATGTTGTACGCTCACAATGTTCTCTTCTCGCTAGCGATCCCCACCGCCGGGATTTCCATAGCTGATCCCAGTGCACCCACAATTCATTCGCTGGCCAGTCAGTCATCCCAATCAGATGTCTCTGCGAGACTCCTGAAAGTTCGGCCTCAGCTGCATGCATGATCCAGTAATGAGTGGCGTAATTCACGAATCTCAAGGCCTCTCCCAACCCCTGCGATCCTCCCTGCAGCCTGTTGAACTCATCTGTGTCAAGCTCAGCATCGAGAACATCCTGTGCCGCCAAGAAATGCACACATATCGCAGCTAGTGCGCTATGTTCTCGGCCCACCATTGGCTCTTCCGACTTTATGCTCTCTCCGCCTTCAAGTATTTGCAAGCCACCGCGAAGCATAAAACTTCGCACAGATTCATGGTCGAATTGGACGATCGTCTGGCCAGTCGTATCAGAGACGACGCGAATCAACCCTAGTGACAGCCGGGAAGCCCTCTCGCGAAGCTCATCATCGTGCATGCACCAATTAATTGACCTCATGCAGTCCTCGGTCGATCGCAACCGTGAAAGCGGGTCTATCGCTACTCCGTAGCGCAGTTCGACCAGGGACATTGGTCGGCCAGCGAGTGTGATCCAGCGGAAAATAGGGAATGCAAGTCTCTTGTCGCTCGGATTCAGCTGCTCCATCATGTGTCGGTATACTTCGTCCAGTTCTGCGGGAGTCTTGAGGATATCGGTCAAGATGAATGCAACACTCTCTTGCTCGAGACTTAGGACTCTTCGCGTGACCAGAACTACCCATTGGAATACACCGTTCGCTCTCTGAACAATGTCGTTGATCACTCGCTCCTTGTCAATTGCGGACATTCGACACATCCCTTCCTCCAGAGATGAGCGGACATATGCCTCAATGGCGGTCCTGTTCATCTGTTCCATGTCCATACATGTCCACGATGACCCTACACGAGGATATGGTCGACAAGATATACAGATAGCAATGGCACCTGGAGCCTTGTCAAAGAGCTTTTCCAACCAACGGAGAAGCTCTCTGGCACTGTTCTCGCCAATCTCATCAAGTGCGTCGATCAGCAACCTGATCTTCTTATGCTCTCGGACGTACTGCTCACAGCTCCTGAGAAAACTTGAATCCAAATCGATTTCATCCCAGTCCCAATTTGTGCCTGGCTTTCCGTACTCTCTAACACGTTTCTCGAAGCTAATATCTCGGCAAAATTTCGAAAGCAGTGCCTCATCTTGCGAAAGCAGCTGATGAAGCATAGATCGAAAAAGTCCGTGTGGGGTGTACTGTAGAAGCTGTCCGCGCCTATTGAAATGAAACGAGAGCGTCAGGGTATTCGGCATCTTGTGTCTTAGACTTGTCACAATGGCCTCCATGAGCATCGATTTGCCAGTGCCGGCTCTGCCCCTGATACATAACAGACCGCCTTCATCATGCCACTTAGTATAGAAAGAATTCTCCATCGCCCAATCACATGAAACGTGCTGCTTCAGACCAAAGTCCCCTCGCGCTGTCATCTGCGGGAAAGCAAGAGAGGATAGACATTGAAGTGGGGAGCCGTCATCGTCTTTCTTCGCATGTACATGCACGTCTGGAAAGCGAAACAAATAAGTAATGGTCATGAACAGGATTCACACACTCGCACATCAACCTCAAATCACAATTCGTGCGGTTCCATCATCGTGTCGATGATCTTTCCATGGTGCAATATTTACCTACTTCTGTTGTTGAACACAAATGACTGGCTGCCTCCAGCTTGATAGTTGGTCGCTTGATCACCACTATTGTGAAACATGGTTCCACCATTGATCTGGTACATGCTTCCAGCCACGCTGTACTGGTTGGTTGCTTCTCGTTCATCCGCTAAAGAACGCACGATCTTGGTCAAGTCATCCCGCTGGTCTCCGATGTCGAGAATGTGCTTCGTCTCCAGAGTGTCCAGATGGTTTCTCATAGAGGCCCACAAATCTTGCAATTTGACATCCTTGCCTGAGACGATCGCAGATGTGCCCTTCCATGTACGCTGCAGGCTATTCGCCCCAACCTTGGGACAGATCTTCTCGAATAGTTGGTTCATTGTTTGTAGATCTTGCTCGCAATGCTTTAGCACGAGTGTGACACCAGGTTGTGTGTCTTGTGGGAGTTCGACGTCAACATTGCGCTGCAGCGCCCTTTGGAAAAGACTTTACACAGCCGGCAATTCTTCAAATAATCTGGAGACCTTTGGAGGGAGTCCTTGGGAGTCCTTTGCCGTTTGGGCGATGGTAACGATTGCTTTGGTAAGATCAATACAAGCGCTCACAAGTTGAACAACCTCTGCGCCTGACATATCTGGTGTCTTTTGCACGAGTGTCGTCCCACAGAATGTTGCGAGTTTCGATGTTTTGGATGTTTGCAACGAGCTGAGCTGTGTGGAGATAGCTGTTCTAAGCGCCCACAACGCACAGCAGTGGCACAGCATGCACTTAATCGCTCGCATCATGCACTCAGCCCCGGTCACTCAGTGTGATGGACTGCAGGGATCCTGCGTTGGACATTTTGCCTACTGCACGATGGATGGACGCGAAGATTCCGTAGAAGAGTGGGTACAAGTGGGTGAACTCCACCCTCAAAGGTATCTTTATCGTGAGGCCGGCTGCGCCCAGGTCTAGACGGGTTACTATCTCATCCAACTGCAAACCGCAAGCCAGCACTGCCCGAAATGTAGGCTGTGAGTCCAAAGTTGCTTTCATGGATCCATGTCGTATGTCGCGCTTGTCTGTGTAAGCGAATCAATGATGCGAAGTGCTCATCGCAGGCGGAAAGAGAAGATCCGTGCAGTGTGCAATCCAATGCCTGCTTCTCAAAAATCGCTCTGATACGTTACAGCAAACAGAATCGCTCGGTCCTAGTTCGCTCCAAAGAGACGATCAAAGTTTGTCGACTTCTTTGCTTTGCTCTTTCAACAGAACATCACCAACTGTGAGCCCACGTTCGTGCCATCGGAACAGCCTGCAGCAAAGTCAAGTGAGCAGCTTGGGCAGCATGAAGCTTTTCATATCTGTAACTTGGACATGGATTAGCCCTATTTGCAGTCAGTATGTTCTGGAAAACAATCGGACGCAGTCTCCCGCCGGAAAGCAGAACAGTTACCTAAGGCCAATGCTGCGCACTCTGTCTGCCCGGAGCATTTGAGTGCACTTTGTCTCAAGAAACGTGCCGTGCAGCCAAGGTCGCGAGAACAGAGGACAATGTGTGGGTGTTACTCAGTTTCCATTTGGCTGTCGGCAGCTAGGCAGTCTTCTGTCTGTTGAGTAGTACATGCCAAGTCCCACTTACAAGTAAATCGCATTACTCCAGTCCTCCATGGTTCCACCAACGGCTTCATGTCTCACAACTTCCCTCCCTTCCCCTCCTTCCTCCATCCCAGTCACTCTCCCTTCCCTCCCACCCCATCATGACTACTCTTCCACTCCTTCCCCGCCGTATAATACGCCCCCTCAACATGCTCCTTCACCTCCGCCGGCTTCAACCACGCACACCGATCCTTCTCAAACGTCTCAATCCTCGGCTTAAACTTCGTCTCCTGCAATCCAAAATCATCAATCGTTCCGATCCTTGGAATCGACATTCCAGGAAACCCTTCGGAACGTCTATACATGAGAGTTCCGCAGACAGAACAGAAAGAATTTTCCATCCAGTTTCCTGTGGCGATTGTGGCGGATTGTTTGAATTTTGTGAGTTTGTTTTCGCCGCGAAGGTGTTTGAGGTGGGAGTCTTTGACGACGAAGTTGGAGGCGAACATGCTGGGAGAGTGTCAGATCGATTTGTACCTGGGTTTTTTTCGCTTTTGATGAAGGTGATGGAAGTGGCTACTCACGAAGCTGTGATTTTCCTGCAATCTGTGCAGTGGCAGATGAAAGTGTCTACCAATCCTTCTCCTTCGGTAGGCACCTCGATTTGTACTGCACCGCAGTAGCAAGTTGCCGTTGCTGTTCCATCCTTCTCGCCATGAGCTCCTTCGGATGGAAGGACAATTTCTTTCGGAGACATTTTGTAGCGAGCTGCTTGTTCTTATGGGGCGAGTTCTGTTTCGAGAGGTCTTGTGTGGAGAGGGTGAGATCTTTGAAATGAGGTAGGAAAGAAGTGTCCTTGCAGCTGAAGCAGGAAGCTATTTGTACTTACCTAACCTCGATGTAGACAAGGTAAGCGGTCTGGACGCAGTCCAAGGGCTACACGGAAGTCGCAGCAGCGGGACAATCAGATAACGAACACAATACAGAGCAGTGCTTGTGTTCAGAGCTCTGACTTGCATGCTGATTGCTCATCGTCGGTGACACTATTGGTAAGCGGTTCGAAAGTAGTCGATGACGTCTGGGCTGTCGTGGAGCTGGAGCTCCAGCTGCTGACGAGAAGGTGTGAAGAACGGCACTCTAGTGGGGGCAATGCTGGATAGAAGAATCTTTTATAATGTGGCCAAGCAAAAGATGCATGTCCATCAAGGTCATTCATCACTCATGTATATTATTACATATCCATAACTTCGTAAAGTCGTAACATTCTATACCTCATGTAGCAATTACCGCAGAACTCACACCCTGCCAGCTGGTGGTATGGGATCCATATCAGAACTGTGCCCCTTGCGATCTAATGTGTCGTCGCTCGCGATCCGTCGAGCAGGAGGCTCTGTAGGTGCCGCTGGATTGACACCCGCCTCCGGATCATCGTCGAGGTTTGCAGTCTCGTACTCCAGAATCTTGATCAACTTGTAGAGGAGCACTGCAAGACCTGAGCCGGCAAAGGGACCGACCCAATAGACCCACTGCTCTGAATCCCAGCCGGCTGTTCCGATGGCGGAGGTTGCGACTGAAGGGGCGAAGCTGCGTGCGGGATTGAGGGAGCCTCCGGTCCAGAAGACACCTGGAGGAATACTTGGTCAGTATGCCTGCGATAAGTATGTGTTGTTTTGCTTGCTCTTTTGCTCACCAGTGAGTTCTGCGCTGAAGAGTGCGAGACCGATTCCAACGGGAGCGATGAAATTTCCGACGTGCTTCTCTGCGGCCAACATGAAGATCGTGAAGACTAGGACAGAGGTGAGAAGCATCTCGATAATGACGCCTTGCGCGATTGTTGTTGTGTCTGATAAAGTTGTTGCGACGTTCAAGTCTCCTGTGAATAGCGCTTGTACGACCTGCGATACATTAGTTGTGGCTCGACCGTCGCAGCTCTCGGGAATTTCATACGAATGCGGCAACGATGGCTCCGAGCATCTGTGCGACGAACAGGAAGATGGCACGCGTGATGGTGATGGCGCGGATGAGTGCCATACCCAAGGTGACCTGTATACGATGTCAGTTTTACATGGCAAGCATTGCTCAGGTGAAGAGCAACGTACGGCAGGGTTGAATAGCCCTCCGCTGATGCGGAAGAAGACCCAGGCATTGACGGCTAAAGAGAAGCCGAATGACAGCGCAGTGTAGAGAAGTTGTTGTGGTGTCTTTTGCGGCGCTTCCGTGATCACCGTGTCGCCAGTATTCGGATTTGACGATACATTGGCAGTTTGTGCTCCTGTAAATGCAAGGAAGAGAAAGAAGAACGTGCCAACGAATTCTCCGATGATTGCGACGATGTGCCCCTTCCAGTGCCTGTTAATGGGGATCTTTCGAATGAGCTTGCTAATGTGAGGATGCTTCACGACCTTCGCGTCGGTATTCATGATTGCAACACTGCGTGCAACGTGTGCAACGTGAAGTCGATAGATGAGACAGGGGGCAAGGATTCCCCAGACAGGCTTGTGCAGCGACCAGGTTATAGTCGTTCGCTCGCGAATCTACACGCTACTCCAGTGTTTTCCTATTTGGGAGTTAGGACGACGCTGAGAAGTTGGCACTTAGCTCGACTTATTACGCTTTTCTGGCTCTGTCAGTGGCGCATCTGCCGCGATGTGTGGCGCACAGTCACAGCAAATCGTATGCATTCCTTTGTCCATCTGCGAGTCAGCTGTCGAGATCGTGGATCCCACGATAGCTCCAAGACCAATGGACGTTGAGGTATGGGATGTTGTGCCGTGTGCGCGGCACGCAGGAAAGGCAATCTCAATCGTCTGCTCAAGATGACGCTCTGTCCACCGGCTTGAAGGAACCGGCAGGCTGAGAAAGGAATCGGCAATCGGGATACACAGCCACTCGCGCACTGGGCATCACATCATGTTCGGCATACCGCGGTTTAGGGCATGTTTCCGGGCTGTCCGTGGCCATGCTTTTGGGTGAAGAGGTTGTTCTTGCTATGATCGACGCCAGGTATTCGACAACTGCCGGCTTGTGGCGTGATACTGGAGGTCTTCTGCTCCAAGGCACGTTGGTACACATTCGTCATTCGTACATTGTTGCGGCTGGTGGCGGGCCTTTCGAGCTCAGCTGATGGGGCTTTGCATTAGCCATGTAAGGTCACTGCGATCAGCAAGCAGACGATCCGGCGCGCACCGACTCCACGTGCAATACATGTCATTGTCAGTAGACCACGTCTTCGTGCTTGATGACGACAGCATACTCTTATGCATGTGGCTTCCCTCAGTGGCTGTATCGTCATCCGCAAGATCATCGCGATGCCGAACTCCCAGGCACCTCGCCATTGGGACTTGGAGTTGCCGCGCCGAGTGGTATGGCTAATAGGCAGGACAGAAAACCTGCTGTTGCTCGAGTAGCTCATTGAAGCTCAAACATTCCGGCCCATTTTTTCTGTTGTTTCTCGGAAGCATACTGGTCTCCAGCGTTCACAACAATGCCGCGAACCCGATCTCGGCACAAGACCAGAGCAAGGCCAGGTAGGCAGGTGCAAGAAAGCCAACGCAAAAATTGTGCTTATGCTGCGAGTTCTGGTCACGCCCTGTGTTTTGGAGTCATCGAGGTTCATTTGTTTCCTAATTTTGATCCATACCTGCTCAGAAGATAAAATACCCTTGACTCAAAGGCAGCGTATCCGCCGGCTCAGCCTTCATCTCCTCGCCATCCGCTTCGACAATCTATCACACAAGTCAGCAACAACAACAAACACCATAGCGAAGAAAATCTGGAGATCAAGAACTCACATATCTCTCCGCATCAACCTTCATCCTCGGCATCTTCCCATTAAATTTCATATCCCCCTTCTTCACACTCCTACAATTCTTCACAGCCTCCACCCTCTTCTTCAATCCATAAGATGCAACTTTCCCACTCTCAATACTCCTCCCACTCACCCACGCAATCCCCCTCGCACCAGGAACCATCGCCCCAAACATGGGCCGCATAATCACAGGTTCCACAGTCGGAATACTAGCATTCGGATCACCCATTTGCGAATAAACAATCATCCCCCCTTTCACAACTTGCGCAGGTTTCACACCAAAATTCGCAGGATCCCAGAGGACAAGATCCGCGAGTTTCCCTGGTTCAATAGAACCGAGAAGATGGGACATCCCTTGCGCGATGGCCGGGTTGATGGTATATTTCGAAATATAACGTTTGACACGGAAATTGTCGACGTCTGTTCCGGCGTCTTCGGGGAGGAAACCGCGTTGGACTTTGTTTTTGTGGGCTGTGTTCCAGGTTCGGAGGATGACTTCGCCGCAGCGGCCCATGGCTTGGGAGTCGGAGGACATCATGCTGATTGCGCCGATGTCGTGGAGGACGTCTTCGGCTGCGATGGTTTCGGCGCGGATGCGCGATTCGGCGAAGGCGACGTCTTCGGGGATGTTGCGGGAGAGGTGGTGGCAGACCATGAGCATGTCGAGGTGTTCGTCGAGGGTGTTGCCGGTGTAGGGGCGGGTGGGGTTTGTGGATGAAGGGAGGACGTGAGGGTGTTCGACTACGGAGATGATGTCTGGGGCGTGGCCGCCGCCGGCACCTTCGGTGTGGTAGGTGTGAATTGTGCGGTCTTTGAAAGCTGCGACTGTGGTTTCGACAAAGCCGGATTCGTTCAGGGTGTCGGTGTGGATGAGGACTTGGATATCGTGTTCATCGGCAACGGAGAGACATGTGTCGATTGTGGCAGGTGTTGTGCCCCAGTCTTCGTGCAGTTTCAGTCCGCATGCACCAGCTTCAACTTGATCTATCAGACCTGCGGGATCTGCGTCGTTACCTTTGCCCGTGATTCCAACATTGATCGGTAAGTCATCGCATGCTTGAAGCATCCACTTCATCATATTGACACTTGGCGTGCAAGTCGTAGCATTTGTGCTGGTGCTTGGTCCTGTACCTCCTCCCAGGAAAGTCGTGATGCCGCTCGCCACTGCTTCGTATGCTTGCTGAGGGCAGATGAAGTGAATATGCGAATCGTAGCCTCCGTATGTGACGATCTTGTGTTCGCCAGCAATGACATCTGTCGCAGCGCCAACAATGAGGTTGGGATCGACGCCTTCCATCACATCCGGATTTCCAGCTTTGCCAATGCCAACAATGATGCCATCTTTGATGCCAATATCCGCCTTGTAGATGCCCGTGTAGTCCACAATGAGCGCATTGGTAACGACGGTATCCAAGCAGTCCTTGTCAGCTCTTCCCGAAGCCTGTCCCATGCCGTCACGAATCGTCTTGCCGCCTCCAAAAGAACACTCGTCTCCGTAGACTGTCAAGTCCTTCTCCACTGAGATCCACAGATCCGTCGCTCCAAGCCTCACTCGATCTCCCGTCGTAGGTCCAAACATAGCAATATAACTCTCCCGATCCATCGTACACCCCTCCAACAACCTCGCATCCGCCCTCGGCTGCTCCACATGCAAAAACCCACCCTCCTTCAACCTCTGCAACAACCCCTCATCACTCACAGCATGCACCCCACCACTCGCCAACCCATTCCCTCCTCGTATCACCTTATTCCCCGCAATCTCCACCAGCGTAACAGTCCTACTCTCCCCGGGCTCAAACCTCACCGACGTCCCCGCCGGAATATCCAATCTCATCCCTCTAGCCTTCAACCGATCAAATTCCAATTTCGGATTCGTTTCCACAAAATGATAATGACTCCCCACTTGAATTGGTCTATCACCTTTACTCGTGACCTTCAACTTCAACCTCTTCCTCCCTTCATTCAATGCTATCCTCCCCTCTTTCCCTCTCACAGCAACAACAGCCCCCGGCATTTCCTTCTCCCCCCAAACCTCCAACCCTTCCACAGGCGGCCACGAAAAAACCTCATTTTCCCTCCCCTTATCCATCACAGGCAATAGTGATCCATACAACGCCCTTTCTAAATTCCCTTCATCGGTCGCGATAGGATCGTGGACGGTGACGAGGTAGGTTCCATTCCGGAATGTGCCTTCGACCATTAATTCTTTGAGGGTGTGGGGCACGGAGGGGAGGACGTGGCGGCGGCCGAGGAGGGTTGTACCCAGGGACATGAGGTCGCTGACAGAGTGGGTTCCATCGCGGATGAGTTCGTGGAGGACGCAGGCGATGAGGGAGAGGGCTTCGGTGTGGTTTAGACGGACGCCCCGGGCGAGACGGCGTTGGGCGAGGAAGCCGGTTTGGGTTATGAGGAGTTTGTCGATCTATGCGCAAAGTGTCAATGGGTGTTTGGAGGGTTGGAAGTTTGTTGTGAGAGCCATTGGGATGCATGGGGAGAGTACTTACCTCCTTCGGTGCCAATTGCATGGTGAGTTAGGAAAGAGTGACGATCTGTTTAGGTGAGAGGAGCTGTCGCATGGAAACGGTTACGTTTGGGTAAATAGGAAATGCATGGCAGGGTTCAGCTCCAGCAGAAAGAGTAGCAAAGTAGTTTGAAGAGCGCAAAAGCGGGGGGGGTGTAGGTTAAATTGGGGCGGCCGCTGTTCCAGGCGAGCGATAAGAGATAAGAGAGTTTGTTGGATAATGTATACTTGAACCTATCGAGTAAGACTGTCTTTTGTCTTGAAGCGGGATGGAGAGATGAATACAAGTGATGGATTGTGGGAGTTTGATGCAGGAGGAGAGGGAGCAAATGGTGGAATGCTTCACTTGGAAAGATGCACTTGGCACTAGCGGGTGCTGCCGTGGACGTGCGCGGCCGAGATGTCGACGCTCTTGCCAAAGCTAGGAGATGAGGAATAGTAGTCGGTCAGGATGCAAGTGTGCTCAATAGCTAACTAGATTGGCCATGCAAGTTCACTTGTCATGGGATGTTGCATATCGCCGTGCAGCCCAGCACAACCTGCCTGATGGCATTCGCAATGTCGATCCGAGAGAGGACTACACGCCCCGACTGCGCCCGGCGTACGAAGGGATGCAAAGGCCTGGCAGTAGCGCTGCAAAAGCTGGACATATGTATAGACTCCTGATCTGTGAGTGCGTCAAACATGTCAATCCAATGTGCCCATAGTCGCGAGCGTGAGCCGGACGATTCGGCCATGAAGACTGCTCATGTCAATGGCTCGGCTGGTTGAATGGTTTCCCAAGCAAATCTTCGTTAGTGAAGTGGAAGCCGAAGCAATTGAGGGCAGGTTGAAGGGTGGAACAAGCAGTCGTGATTTTTGATGCAGCGGGCGACCCTTGCAGCTTATTCCTAGGCCAGATTTGATTAACTCATCTGCCAGCCCATGACCTGACCAAAAGCAGAGGAGATGTATCTTGTCTGCGCCGTTTCTACTGGCTGGGCTAGAAACTGATACTGCAGGTTATCAACATCCCCTTCCAGAGCATTCGGAGACGACTGGCCATTGGAAGAAGATGCGGAGTAGCAAGTGATTTGTGGTGGTGGACAGAGAGGGAGCTTGTCTCATGAAATTGGAGGGGAAGTTTCTTTTGGCCTGCTCCCCGCTAAGCCGAATTGAGCCCGAGTATCCGATGGGCAGCCACCGACTTTCCAGCACGCGCTCGTTGAAATTCTCGTCTCGTCACACTCATTTCCCCATCAAATCCTCCATCAACCACGCGGCATGGCTTCCACCAACGGCCACCAATATCCCGACCACTTTCACCAGCTCGTCTCGTGGGCCGCGAATAACAGCCCAAACCACACAAATCAAAACAGCAACGGCAACGCGATGGCCTATCCTCCAACGCTGCAGGTGTCGGTCGACACGGAGCGCTTCATCCAGACGCGCAATGCTGTATGTCTTCACACTCCCTCGTCGCATCACGGCCAACTTCACCTACGCCGAACTTTGCGACGCGACAACAAAGGCAGCCTCGACGCGACTGGCGCATAGCAACAGCCGATGCAACTTCACCTCCAACGATGAACTAACGCGTCGCAGCTCACCAGCGCGTACATCGGCCTGAGCAGCTCCATCGACACCGCCATCAAGGCCTACATCGCCCACACCGACGTCGTGCTGCAAGGCGCCGGCAACTTCGACATCAGCCAACTGCTTCTGCCCTTTCAAGGCGTCGCAGGCGCTGCTCAAGTCGCAGAGCAAGCTATTCAGAATGGCTTGATCCAGCTCGCCGCCGCGCCCATCGATGCGAACGGCAATCTGGTCGATCCCAAGAAGCGAGAGAAGCGCCCATACAAGCAACGCGACCCCAATGCGCCCAAGCGACCACTCACCGCCTACTTCCGCTACTTGAAGGAGGTGCGCCCATTCATCGCGAAAGAGGTTGCTACAAACCCGCCCAGCGATGGCACCAAGGCTGGCGACATCAGCAAGATCGCCACTGAAAGATGGAGGACCATGACTGAAGCTCAGCGCAAGCCATATCACGCTGCGTATCAGAGCGAGCTGAGCGCGTACGAGGAGGCTACCAAGGCATACAAAGCTGCAGGTGGCAAGGCTGAGGATGTTGAAGATGGAGATGCAGAGGTGGAATCTCCCTCTGCTCTGCCTGCGGATGTGGTCGCCGCTGCAGAAGATGAGAGCGACGACGATTCCTCATCCGACGACAGCTCTAGCAGTGAGGAGTCCGACGAGCATGAGGATGTCCCAGCCAAGCTGCCGACTCCTCCGCCACCGAAGGCTAAGACACCCAAAGCTGGACCAAAGAAAGTCAAGGCCGCTGCCGATGCCACTCCTGCCGCCAACATGGCTATCGACCCGCAACTGACCTCGAGTGCTCCCATCGCTCAAATGACACCCTCCAGCTCCCTCGCATTACCTCCATCGCAACCTCAAGCGAGCTCGAAGAAGCGCAAGGCTGCAGCTGCGGTCGAGACGCCGGGCACTGCTGAGGGTGGCGAGAAGAAGAAGCGTGGCAAGTCGAGTAAGAAGGATGATGTGCTGGCTGAGCAAGCTGCTTCTGCTGCACAGCTACAAGTGCCTGAGTCGAGTCAAGCGGAAGCTGGCAGTGGAACCGAGAAGAAGAAGCGCAAGAAGAGGAAGAGCGAAGCAGCTGCGGCTTAGGAAGTCCAGCCTTCGGAACATCTCTTTCTTCCGTATCCATCGACTTCAAATGTGGGGACATTTTGAAGGAACTCTGCAATGAAGGTAGGGACGAGGAGCTATGCGACCCGCGGTAGTGTATGATGGCGTCTTGCTGGAGGCGAACTGAGTTGCTTGATCGAACGAATGAGAGATACCTGCTGAGCGCTTGCGAACTGCTACATGCTGATAACTGTACAATGGATGATTACCTGTCTTGTAGCCCCATACCCTCCGTCTGATCACTGACATGGGCGATATCGTACCTCTCAGCCCACCACTCAAAATTGCACAGTCTGGCAAAAGGTGGTATCAAAATGCAAAAGACTACGAAACGGTATTTGAAAAGCCAACGAGGAAAAGTAGCAAAACGACCGCCCTTGGTGTGTGGTTACGACCTACGCAACAGGTCCCGGAGGTCTTCGGCCTCGCGTCGGTCCGCTCCATGTATGTATTTACGAACAGCGCAATCTCGAAACTGCGACTTATGTCTTTTACCACTAGACCAAGGACGATTGTTGACAACCACGCTCGGTAACTGGTACATATGGCCTCATTCTAAGGGGTGGGGGGAGCAAAAGGGGAGGGTATGCTGTAAGGATGGCGATTGTGGATGTGAAGGGAAAGAGGATGAAAGGGGGCAAAACAATCGCCCTTAGAAGTGGTCTATCATTCCCGCACCGCGACCGGTCAGATGTGTCTGATCGGCCTAGTACGGCTGCCAGTGAGTACCGCTTTTAGACAACGCATTGTGGAAAGCGACTTATGTCTTCACCCACTAGACCAAGGACGATTGTTACAACGCATGCTTTTCAACTGGTGTATACGGCTTCAAACCAACGGCCGGATAATCAGCAAAAGGAAGAGATATGGTTCAAAATTTGGCGATGAAGGATTCGGACAAAAAGTGCAAAGACGAGGCAAAACAATCGCCCTTAGGAAGGGGCAGAGCAGCTACTCTAATGCCAGGTCACAGGTCTAACCGGCCTGATAGCGCCGGCATTAAGTACTGCTTTCGGACAACGCAGCACGAAGGTGCGACTTATGTCTTTACCACTAGACCAAGGACGATCGTTAACATCGATGCTTTCAAGGCATCGATATACGTGAACATCAGGGTGAGATTAGCAAAAGCGAAAGGAGATGCCATGAGGACTTATGATGCAGACCTGAAAAGCAAAAGTTCTCGGATAAGGCAAAACAATCAACCTTGGGCCGTAGCACGATGCAGGCAGTTTTTCTATCGACGAAGGTCTACTAGCTAGCCTTGGAAGAGAACTCGTTGCTGGTCTGAAGACAGCGCGATCGTGATGTTCGCGACTTATATCTGTTACCACTAGACCAAGGATGATCGTTAGAAGAGGTGCGACAGGAATGGCATATAATGCTTGGGCTAGGAACCAAAGGCTAGCAAAACGAGCAGATGGTCGAACGATAAGTTCGTGAGAAAATAAGGGAAAAGTAGGCGTGTGAGAGGCAAAAAACAATCGTCCAGAGCGCGTGGCTTGCAACCCATGGGCCGAGGCGATCCGGGAAACGAGTTGATTCCTGGATCTACTCCCTTGCTGTTGCGTTCTTTGACAGCGCATTCTGTTGGTTGCGACTTATGTCTGGTACCACTAGACTAAGGACGATCGTTGTATAAACCGTGGAAAGCAGAGCACATATAGCTTGGATTCGCAGATGAGGGCTAGCAAAAGGGAGAGACAGGCTGGCAAGATATGAACCATGATGGACTGAAAGCAAAAGAACGTGCAAAAGGCAAAACAATCGCGCTTGGTGTGGGTTCCACTCACCCGAAATGGTGGGGGTCTGTCGGCCTCATACCATTACAGGAGCGAAGGGTCGTAACAGACAGCGCATTCCAAGGATGCGACTTATGTCTTATACCACTTAGCCAAGGGCGGATTGTTGAAGCAGCGATAGTAGAAATGCTATATAACGGTTGTCTAACGGGTAAGAAGGCAGCAAAAGAATACATGTCCAAGAAGAGCAGAGAAGGCAATCTGCAGAGCAGAAAAGTGGATGGAAAGGGCAAAACAATCGCCCTTAAGCCGTAGCACCACGTCCGCGACATCTTTGATAGAAAACAGATTTATCTAATATGCCTCACGCATGCATTACAGACAGCGCTTTCTGAAAAAAGCGACTTACGACTTTGCCACGACACCAAGGACGATCGTTGCTGTGGAAGTTTTCAAACTACATATAATGCGTAGATTCGGAATCGAGGGCTGGCAGGAGAGCAGGCACGAAGTACGGAGCGAACGGGCGAGACAAAAGACAAAAAAATCCCGAAATTTGGCCATTAGCACACAGCATGCAGGAAGGACGGAGATGCTACAAGTTGCAGTATGCCTCGCAGCACGCTACTATGGAATTTTCTTGCAGACAAAGTCTTGTTGATCCGATTTAAGACGTTGCCACGATGCAGAGGACGAATGCTAAGGTGGTGGAGGAAGGCTTGTATTCTAGGGGTGACTTCCGTATCTTTCTACCAAAAGAGATTTATGCTCATTGGGGCAGAAGGAGCAAAAAGAAAAAGAAAGAGGTAAGGGATGGACAAAACAATCGCCCGTAGCGCATAGCACAGGCCGGATATGGTAAGAGCACAGGTCTATATGGCCTGCAACTTAACCCCTCGATGCTAGTATCTTAGACAGCACAGCATGCTGCGACTTACGACTAAGCCATCTCGCCAAAGGACGATCGTTGAACGGAGTGACTTTTGAGTCCTTTGTAAACCATCTTTCCAAGTCATACATAGTAGAAGAGTCGAGTAGCGCGAGACAAAAATTCCAGAGGCAGACGTTGCAAGAAAAGAACAAAAGACGGGCAAAACATAAAAACAATCGCCCTTGCTACGCAGCACGCGGAAAGCGCAAGCGCGAAGCCACATAGACCAGATGGTCTGTATTGTGCTTCCCGAGACTTCCTGTAGACAGCACGAATCCTAAGCGACTTACGACTGGACCACGCTTGCAAGGACGATCGTTGAATGGCTAGAATCTCGAAGGACATATAATGCTGCCCGTTGTTGCAAGCATTGCAAAAGAAGGTCTTAGGGGACCAGGTTGGAGCGAAAGCATACACGGTGGCTACGTTAGGGACGAAAAAATGGCAGAGGAAAGGGGCCAAGCGAAGGGCAAAAGTGCAAACAGTCCGCCGATCAAAAGTCTAACCACAGTCAACGGTGCATTTGTGCTTCATTCATCGATCGCCCGACGCAGAAGACCCCCAAAATGTGGTTCTCGAAGCTCGCTGGGCGAATTGCCGGTGACTGTTGCACAGCCACGCGAGAGTCCATGTTTGTGCCCCTCTTGAACCGCAAGAGCGTTCGCTAAGAAAAGAAGAAAAGGGTGACTAGAAGAAGCAAGAACAATCATTCTTGGCTCATAGCTACCTGCAGCAAAGAACAAGCACTGGTATAGAGAAGTTGTCAATATCTCTGTGATAGCATGTCGTTCCACAAGCGAGCAGCGCAGTCCAGATTTAGTGGCGATGGCGACTTACGGCTCAACCATGAAGGCAAGAACGATCGTTATGTGAGGTGGCCGCCAGTTTGAATATGATGCCTGTTCGAGGCTGCCTTGAATGATATTGAAGACTTGGGCGGGTTAGAGAGGCAACAGAGTCTGTATACCAAGGCAAAAGGAAAAGAATCTGACGCAAAAGCAAAAAATCGTCCTTGTCTCATGGACCGTGCTTTGCCCCAGGCTCCCAACGCAACATCGCAGAGGGCGACTTGAGCGGGTGCTGTGATGCTGCACCAAGCCTGCACTTCTCGTGAGCGACTTACGACTCGACCATTTAGCCAAGACCGATTGTCGTGGATTCCGCATGCGGCTGGTATATCAAGACTCATTGGGTGATAGGAATCTGGAATATTACCTGCAAGACCCGATCAGCATTTGCTTGTGCTCGATTGAACACTCTCCTTGAGCTGAATATAGTAATGATGTCCACTTTCTTTTTGATACCATTCAGCGAATGCATCAGGTCTAGGTCTTGGTCCAGAGAGTGTCGCGGCGGGCTCGATGGAGATGCTCAGTTCTCGAGCCACCTTTGGGAACCGGTATAAATTTGTGATGATGGGCGCTGAGGTACAGATGCAGACTTTTGCTATGTCTTTGAGCCAACGACATGTCGATCTCGTCGAAGGAAGCAGGACGTTAGATTTCGATTATATCACTGCAACTCAGGTGTCTGGCATGGTGGTTCGCAGAAACAAGTCTGGCGATCCAGTGCAGTAAACAGTGTGTGACTTGATCGTGTATCGCTCTGGTAGTCCAGCATGAAGCATGAAGGCTCAAAGGACGTCATCTTCATGCTGACTCTCGGATGTTCCTTGGGAACATGAAAGTGTGGTGAGCAAGCTGGCATTAACTAGGGCAACCACATATACACTTCCGACTTACCCGAGACTTGCCGACCTCACCTCATTCCTCCCAGTGGTTTGGATGCGAGACAGACCTTCGACGACATCATTGATCTTTTCGTACAGCTTCATGAGTTTGGAAAGGGCAGACAGCAACGTCCTAACCAGTCCAGTGTGTACAAGTCACGTCCTCTTCGGCGGCGCTAGCCGTTGGCCGCGAAGCTCCCCAAAACCATACCCGATACTTACTCTTAATCACTCCGATTCCGAGCAGTTCTTCTAACATGAAGAGTTTGGCCCAAATCCCTGGAGGAAGAGAAACGGCTTTCACGAGACGCGTTGCAAAAAGCGCCACAAAAGCGAGCCAACGGACACTTTCTTGAATCGGAGTCGCGGCCGATATCAGTTCTCGGTCTTGACGTCGAAGCTCATGATTTGGGCAGGCGGATATCCGACTGGACGATTTGTCTCGTACGAACAACGAGAAGCCCCATGCCAACTGAAAGGAAAGTGTCAAGACAGTGTTTTCGCAGCCTAGCTTGAATATTCTAGTTGATGTGGAAGCCTGAGGCACAAAGTCTTGCTTGGCTCTCCCGTCCGGATTCCATCGACTCCTCCTGCCACCGCCACTCAACCTCAGCGCACCTTCGCATCAGCCAAATGGGATTGCGGAAGATATGCCTGCCGGATCATGCATACAGCTGAGGATCATCACATCGGCTCACAGCCAGGAAAGGCGGTTGGCCAGTGATGGGCGACTTCAAGTCCTGTGCCTTCGTCGCCGCCTTTGCATCAACAATATGCCCGGCCTACTCCACACACGAAAGGCGGAGCTTCTCGTATGATAAATAACACGAGCTGTCTATTTTCACCGGATGAGCTCCTTCTCCAGGCCTAGTCGCAGTCGAGCAAGATTGAGTGATGGCCAGCGGTCGGGAGTTTCACCTTGAACGAGTCACGGCCGTAGAAGGTACTTTAGACAACAGCAACAGGCGAGGGACGAACCCAATTTCGGCCACCATTTGGGCATCTCGAACGCGTGAATGACTAGGATCACATATTAGTGGCCCACATAGCCATCGCCAAGATGGGCCCTCGCGGAAGACAAGAACTTCGCTTACGCATTTGAGGTGCTTGTGCTCGCGCTGTCAGTGGCCGGGGATGTCTACTACATATCATCCGTCTCTCCTGCTTGAGAGTACTTCACAGTGTCACTTCGTTCTGTGCTGAAAAGTGGAAATATGAAGTCCTTCACAGCATACTCGCTTCTCGGCGCCTTGGGACTTGTATGCGCTGCACCGGCAACTCAAGAATATGACTATGTGATAGTCGGTGGCGGCGTCTCCGGTCTGGTCGTTGCAAACCGTCTCAGCGAAGATGAGCAAGGTTAGTCCGGGAACAATGCGGCAGGAGCCAGTCACTCACCAGAGTACCAGTCACCGTCCTTGTTATCGAGAGCGGCGAGTCAGTGGACACTGATGCCACCAAAATTCCGTACAAGGCCAACGATCTCACCTCCAGTGCTGGTCTCATATGGGAGAATATCACATCGCTGCCCGAGCCGGCACTTGGAAACTCCACCTTCAACGTCCTTGTGGCGAAGGTGCTGGGAGGAGGCTCAGTGATCAATGGAATGGTTTATGATCGGGGTTCTGCCGCTGACTATGATGCTTGGGAAGCGCTTGGAAACGAAGGCTGGGGCTGGCAAGGCCTGTTTCCATACTTCAAGAAGGGTACCACCTTCCAGCCTCCATCTGCAGCTGTCGCCGAGAACTTCAACATTACCTGGGATCCTGAAGCGTATGGTGATGGGCCTTTGCCTGTGAGCATTGTTGATACTCAGTATCCTGATATCAAGGACTACTGGGATGCCTGGAGAGCTACTGGAGTTCATATTCCAATTGACGGCAACAATGGCGAGGCTTATGGACCGTCGTGGTACCCGAACACGGTGGACAAGAACACTGGGCGCAGAGCACATGCTCGCTACGCCTTCATCGATCCGGTCTCTGAACGCAAAAACCTCAAAGTTTTGACTGGCACTACAGCAGAGAAGATTGTCTTTGGCGATGCCAATTCTCCGTCCACCGCCACTGGTGTTGAGGTTGTATCTGGCGGCACTGGAGAAACCGCTATTGTCAATGCAAAAAAGGAAGTCATTCTCGCAGCAGGTGCGATCCAGACTCCCAAACTTCTGCAATTGAGCGGCGTTGGTCCAAAACCAGTTCTCGAAGCAGCCGGTATTGAAGTGAAGGTCGAGCTTGATGCTGTTGGATCAAACTTCCAGGATCACCCGTACGCTACCGTTATCTTCAACACTACCTCCACTACATTCCCAAGCGTGAACTCGCTGATGAACAACGCGACGTTCAATGCTTCTGCCTGGGAAGAATATGAAGTCAGCAAGACAGGACCGTACACCTATGCTCGCGGAAATGCCCTCGCATTCATTTCCCTTCCGGACATGACTGCAAACTTCAGCAGCGTCAGCTCCCAGCTTGACAACGAGAATGCCCTCGACTACCTGCCATCGCTCTACCAGAACAATGCCGAACTTCTTGCTGGCTTTACCGCTCAAAGGGACATTATCAGCTCGATCTTCGGTCGCAAAGACGCCGCTGTAGCCGAGTTCCCCATTCCAGCAGACGCAACCTACAGCATCGTAGCTGTTCAGAAGCCTGTATCGCGTGGAACAGTTCACCTGAATCCAGCCAACCCAACTGGTCCTCCAAACGTCCTCTACAACGCATTCGTCAACCCTGTCGACCGACGGATATTGTCCGTCGGAATGCGATATCTGCGCGAACTTTTCTCGTACCCTCCCCTCCAGGAGAAGTTCTCCATCTCAGAGACCGTGCCAGGAGCACAGTACACTTCTGATGTCGAAATTTACGACGCATTGGTAGAGCAGCAGACGCTAGCTCCAAGCTTCGCGCATCCTTCGTGCAGTTGCCCAATGATGCCAGAGGAACTGGGTGGCTGTGTCAGCGATACCTTGTTGGTCTACGGCACTCAGAGGCTGAGTATCGTGGACGCGAGCATCATCCCGATCATTCCGAGTCAGCATTTGCAGAGCACTATTTATATGATCGGTGAGAAGGCTGCGGATTTGATCAAGGCGAGGGCATGAGGAACGAACGTAAGTCAGACATTGGAACGACGAGAATAAGCCAAATTCTGGTATATGCAGCACCAATCAACAGCGGAAGAACCAGCCTCATCATACATACAACTTCAAGCACGCAAGCAACAGAGTCCAGGTCTTTCACTTCTTCGTTGGTCGGACACGGTATACCTCATACTCAATCGCGACCTTGCCGTCCTCCACAACCCATCGCCCTTCTGCAACCCAGCTGGAGCTTTCAATCCACTTCTTACTCTCATCACTCGTCTCCATAATCGGCGTCGAGAACAGTTCATGGTCGCCATATTGTGTTGTCTTAGCATCCTTGTTCAGGATTGCTGCCAGGCAAGCTTCATCCACTTGCATCATGCCATCATAATGCACATAAATGCCGTGACCCTCGGGTGTTCTGAAACTGAGTCGGACGTCAAGGTGGCTGGTGTTGGTTTGCGGGTTGAGCTGTTGGAGAACGATTGTTAGAGTCTCGACACGAGAGCGTGTGAAGGAGCATTTCTCACGAGAGCCAGTCTCCACTTCCTGGAAGCAATTCTGCTGTTGCACCTGCAGATGGGCCAAGGCCTATCAGCCAGCCGGTGTTGAGAGGAACGACTGTTCTTTGTGGTCCACCTTTGACTGTTCCGCAATTGAGGATGTTGGGACCATCGAAGTATGCTCGGACTGTGAAGTGGTGTTCGAGAGTTGGAGCCATTTTGTGCTAGGACAGTCTTCGACTGAGCGTTAGCGAAAGGAAAAACGATGCTCGGGCCTATGCTGGAGCTGCGTGTGAAGTCCGAACAGCTTCTCACATACGCATGTCTTGACCAACAACAATGACGTTGCATCGCCAGGAACATTTTGTCCATTGATGGGCTAAGTTACAAGGATAACCCTTGCAAGGGCGATGCAATTGTGAAGAAGCATGACTCCCACTTGGACTTCACCTTCTGACTGCTCTCAGACTACAACCCTGTGCGGCACTTCAACGCCCATCTCTATTGGACCAATATCGAACAAACGCAATGCACATTAAATCGAAACAGCATCGCATGTCTGAAGCTCATGCGCACTACGGTGCAGAGCTGAATGGAGGCAGTGAACCTTGAAACTGCTGCGGTGAGCTTGACTTGGACGTCATTTTCGACATGGGCGAAGATGCGCCGAGACAAAATTTCCAGGGCTAGAACCATTTCAACTCTTCAACAAACCCACGACTACCTCGGACTTTTTACGGAGACGTCGTGGAGTGCGGAAGCCAATAAAGATACGACTCTTGACAGACTTTATCCGCTGCCAGTTTCTCTATACAAGATCCTGGAAGTTTACACTTTGCTCACCGGGAATATGCCAGCATTTGAAGAACTTTGGAAGTGCATTTGCCCGATTGAAATCAGAATTCAACATTGGAGACTGTTGGATCACATAATCCATCTACCGACATCACCGTCGCACAGAAAGTGGAGGTCTGGAGTTCGGCTGCAATGAAATACATGCCCGAGTGGTTGTTTGAATGCTACTTGGGGCTCTGATATTTTCGCCTTATCGTCACGCTCTCCGTGCTGGACATTTTGAGCAGCAGCGAGGTACAAAAGCAATGGTCCAAGCCCAATCTCAACAGCTACTAGCTATATCGCCAACGTCGGTGTAAATCCTCTGCTGGGCCCGGGCCTTGGTCGCTCAGGGTATAGACTATCTTGGCCGACCTGCTCTCATCCTCTACGATGTGAATGTTCAATTGAATGGGCTCCGTCACCTCGCCCGAGAACCCTGCGCCCTTGAGAATGCCCAACGATTCCGGTCGTACACCTGCCAACACGGCAATGATACCAAAGCCCTTGCCCACTGGGACCTTGCGGGGCATCATACTGCCTGCGATCATCGCGAGTGTCATGGTTGGCTGGACTGCGAAGAGTAGCAAAATCAAGTATGATCTTTGTAAGGTCAATTTCGAAGACACGATCTTAGGCCTTGCAGTGTACTTCAGTCCAGTGTTGGCGTAGATGCCATCCCAGTTCGTATCCCAGCCAGGTCTGGACGGGTCGTTCACAACGGTAATGAGCGACCACTTCATCGAAGCAACCACTGCCGTCATGGTGGGCGCAATCCACCTAGAGTCATTTCGAAGTACGGTAAACGGTCCCAGGAAGTGGTTGAGGTTGGGCAAATAGTGCTCTGCCATATTCAGATTATTGTCTCGGAGCACTCTTTGATCCCGCTCGAAATTCTCCGACTTCATCCCCTCTGCAAGGTCGCATTTCCCTTCCACTAGCTCCACGATGCCCCGTGCAATGGTCCATGTCCCACTGCACGCTACTCGGATCGTGTGCGTACATTCGGGTACAGGCCAATATAAGTCCAAGACTCGTCGCCTTGCCCGCCTCGATTTGACATGAGACCTGTGCTCCAGCCATTGTGCCGGTTCGCAGTGGCGAAAGTACTATTCGGCCACTCTTGGCCCGCAATGGCACCATATCCTGCCCAGTACGCCTCATCTTCGTCTCGATCCAGGTTGCGAAACTCGTCGGCAGTGTCATTCTTGACAGAAACGGTGGCTGTGACTGTTGCAGTTACATTCCATCGCTCTCCCAATTCAAGATCCGCTTGCACTCGGCTCACCCACTCAGGTTTTGGAGTGTCGAGCATGGCGACAGAGTGTTCGTCAAGCATAAGCATGTTGTAACCATACGCTCGAGGAAGTTTGCGATACGGCGGATCGAGCTTCGGAACTCCTTCAGCAGAGTAGAAAGACACATTCGTTGCTGTCGCTTGTATGAATGGTAAAGTCACGTTCGTCATCAGGATCGGGCCAGTCCAGTCCAATCCAGGAGGAGCGTACAAGCCGAAGAACTTAGGGTACATCTCGCCGCTGGCGCCAATCTCATGCGTACTGATGCCGCCCACGAACAGTTTGTACCCAACGCTCAGTGCTATTGGCAAGATCTTTAGCAGCAGAGAAACGGCCCTCCAGATATAGCTGATGTTCTCTCCAAGAAGCGTGGCGCGCATGATCGCTTCGAAGTTCTGCAAAGTCGCTGCTCCCCGAGCCTCGCAGCAAAGAAAGAACAACGGCGCAGTGTAATCGAGTCAAAGATTCATGATGCTGAGCAGGAAGCCAACAACAATGAGTTGGTACTTTACGCCCAGACTCCAGGCGAGGTGCTCGTCCATTACCACGATCGATGCTGTGGCACAGCATACAATGGAGACCGAGGCCGCGAGGGTATCTTTCCCGTCAAGCAGAGGCTTGCTTGCAGGCACGCCATGTTGCTGCTGCTTTATTTGCTTGCGGAGGGTCGAGCCTGCATCGTGTCGTGTGTCTGTCAGTGGCACAAGGTCGATGTCGCTGCCGTGTGCGTTTTCGATCCGTTGGAAAGCGGCTGTGCGTGAAACCATGCTATAGCCGTTGTTCTTCACAAGATGCCTGAGTGAAGCTTTGCAAATGACCTGCTCGTTGAGGATACGATCTGGCTACGGCATGGGGAGGGGCTGAGAGGTGCAAAACAATACAGCCTTGTCGTGCCGCTCCGCGCAAGGAAGCTTTACGCCGGTGCGCTTCGCCTCCGCCACATGGCGTTTCAGCTCGCAGCAACTCCTCATCAAGTTGCACGAAAAATTGGAAGCAGACTGTTTACGATGCCATCGGATAGTGGCTATAATCATTCGCCACGGGCGTAGACTGCATGTACCTGCCAAGAAAGGCGCCCACGCCGAAACTTACAACTCGACGGCACAACTTGAATGTCGAGCGCCAATCGTATTCTACAGCAATACCCGCCGGTTGACTTGGGAGGTAGAGCTGCATTGCGCTCACGGTGAAAGTCCTCTGTCCATTTGTCCTCAGCCGGAGATCGTCAAACAACATCACAGGACTCTGACTATTTGGGATCAAAGTCGAGTGCTTGTGTCGAGAAGCATTGCATGCATGGGTGGGGACATCCCCGCTTATGTGCCATTGAGCACTGTCGCTTTTGACCTGAAAACCTACCCAGTCGGGCGACTTGCGGGAGATGTTGTTGAAATATTGCCTAACGCTGCGATGGCACACCAGATTCGCTCCAGTGAGCGGCCGGCTTGTAAGTCGAGACCAGACAGATTGCCCTCTGTGCCAAGGACAACGCCTGAAGAGGACGAGATTGACGTCCACAAAGGAAACATCGGAGCAGACCGCAGATTGATGTTTATGAGATGTGATAGCGCCCAGAGATGAACTGCATCGAGAACATGAATGTTCACTGGTCCACGAGGGAAGAATTGGAATCATTTCACTTCGACATGTGTTCAGAATCGTCCAACGATGATCCAAGTGATGGGATCCACCTCGAATAAGACAGTGCTATTTCATTAATAAGAGCAATGCGATCGGCCGCCTTCGCATTGTAGGTGTGGCCAACGAACAGTACGCCTACACTGCTAAGCGGAACTCAAGCTCTGGTAAACCAACGCTCAGTCTAAGAATAATGCTTGTTGCTACGATTCGACATATTGCGAGGGAGCTCTGGCTATTCGAACGCTGATATCCAAACACTTTGCGATGCCATGGAAGGAATCACAATGTGGTCTGAACGGCAAAAAGCATCGGCCGGGGTGCTTCGGATTCGGATCGCGATCTCTTTACGGTTGAGTCCAACGTCTTCTGGAGATTGCAAAGCTGTATCCATGGAACCAGTCATGCTTAAGCTGAGAAGTCCCCGCCGGCTAACCTCTTTCGGGCTGTCACTTCGTATGCTATTCACAGCTGACTTTGCAACGCCCTGCAGCTGTGACAATTCCCACGATGTTTTCCACAAACGTAAACAGGAATGAGGTCAGCTGTACCAAAGCTGCTATCGATTGCTCAACGGCCCGTGAGTGAGTCCAGGCACGTCACTTACGGCGCGTTCCATTTGACCAGTCTGCGAGATGGCAGATGCGGGGCAAACGCGGCATGGGTAGGAGGACAGTCTATCGATCGTTGCATTTCCGTCCCGGTCAGAGATGCCATTCGCTCCCGCTTCATCGGCTTTATCCAAGATCTTCAATCGAAAATAGTGAAGGCAAACGATGTTGTATTACACAATGCTTACTGGGTGCTAATGGAAGGCATCGACTGAGAGACTAGCCTCGCTCGCTCTTACATCGCCGGAGGCATGCGTTCGATGCTCGATCAACGTATAGCTGCATGGCTCATTGCAATTTCTCTCTGTGAGAGTGCTCTTGAGATCTGCCGCTGTTTCACCTTTGGGCACTTGGTTTCCAAAATTCCATAGGAATTTCACGCTGCCGCTCCGCCGATCCTGTCTATAATCGGACGACACAGATCGCGGGCAGGATAAGACATTGCTATTGAACTGCTAGCACGTGTCTTCCACCCGTCTTCAGCTGGCATATCGACATGTCGGCAATACTCTCGCGCGTGGTAATGCAGGAACCAACGCGTCATGCAGTATGCTTGCAGAAGTGTAATGTTTCATACCGTCCGCCAGCGACCATGGAGGCTCGAAACCAACCAAAAGATAAGTAGTGCCCTCGCTCCTTTGATTGCAAGTCACGCAATACATTTGCACGTCCGCTCGCCGCAGCAAACCCGCTCTCTACCTCCCGTACGGAGTCGCCCCGTCGGGATGTTTTCGTTTTTCCTCCTTTTGGCTTCGCAGAGCCTGGTGCTCGCGAAGCCTGTCTCGTATAAACAGCTAGCTGATCGCTATCAGCCTTCGTACAACGAACCTGCACCTCCGACGTACGATCATCCATCGTACAACGAGCCAGCACCTCCAGCATATGATCAGCCAGAATATGCTGAGCCAGCACCTCCGAAATACGACCAACCCAGCCCGCCTCCTGCATATGGACCGTCGTACGATCAGCCAACCTGCAACGGCTATGGACCCTGCGAAACCGACTACGTGACTTCGACATCGTTCACCCTCAATGCTACCAGCGTTGTGACTACAACCGTGACGACTACCATCGCACAACCAAGCGGACGCCAGCAAGGAACAGTCATCATCGTTCTTCCAGGAAACTACACCACCACAACCGTCACTGTCTCTACAATCGTTGCGCCTGTTACCACTACCGTGACTCAGACTGTCACTGGCCAGCCTGGGACTATCATCATTCAACTGCCACCAACAGGCGGTGCTACTGGCCCTACGACTACAACTCCTCAGCCTGGCGCTACTGCACTTCCCAACTTGACTACCATCACCGAATACGATCCTACCATCACAGCGTCTGCCACGACCACAGTTCCTGGTGTTGCCGGTGGTCCCGGGACTGTCATCATCGACCAGCCAGTGGATTTTGAAACCACAACGATCTACGACCCGTCGCTTCGTGAGGGTACGACTTCCACTGAGTATGTCCCCGGCCAGCCTACCGGATTGATTGTCGTCAGAGCACCTGAAGTTTATGAGACCACCACTGTCTACAACACTGCGATCACAATTTCCGCGACTTCAACTCTGACGACTTTCGCGCCCGGACCGCCTCTCACGACTGGCTTGGTGGAGCTCGATCTCCCAGTATCGTTCACTACATCTGCGGTATACGATCCAGAAATTCAGTCACCTGTCACAACCACTATCTATAATGGAGGCCCATCTGGAACGGTGATCGTCACTGACCGAGCTGTCTACTCTACGACTACTGTCTACAACACTGCTATTTCGGCCGCCACTAGCACCACTATTACGCCTTTCGCGCCGGGGCCGCCACTCACGACTGGACTGGTAGAGCTTGATCTTCCCGTGTCGTACACCACATCTGCGGTATACGATCCGGAAATTCAATCGCCAATTACGACAACTATTTACAATGGAGGTCCATCTGGTACGGTCGTAATCAGGGATCGTGCTGTCTACTCGACGACTACAATCTATAACACTGCCATTGCGGCCCCTTCTAGTTCTACACTGACATCTTTCACGCCTGGACCTCCTCTTACGACTGGCCTAGTCGAGCTGGACCTTCCAGTCTCATTTACCACATCCGCGATTTATGACCCTGCTATCGAATCTGCAGTTTCTAGCACGGTTTACACGGGTGGTCCCTCGGGCACAGTTTTCATAACCGATCGTGCTATTTACTCGACTACCACCGTTTACAACACCGCTATTGCAGCCCCCTCAAGCTCTACTCTTACATCATTTGCTCCTGGCCCACCTGTCGTAACTGGTCTTGTGGAGCTGGACCTGCCTGTTTCCTTCACTACCTCTGCTATTTACGATCCGGCTATCGTAGAGGCAGTTTCTTCTACCGTTTATACCGGAGGTCCTCTTGGCACAGTCTTTGTTACGGATCGTGCCATTTACACTACGACGACCTCGTACGATCTTTCTTTTACCGCAGAGGCTTCAACGACCTTGACTACCTTCCAGCCAGGGCCACCTGTAGTTACTGGTCTTGTCCAACTTGACGAGCCAGTTACTCTAACCACGACAACCATTTACGATCCGGCTATCGTCGATGCCGTGTCTACCACTGATTATACTGGAGGACCTTCAGGGACAGTTTTCGTGACGGATCGTGCCATTTACACTACGACAACCTCATACGATCTTTCTTTCACCGCAGAGGCTTCGGCCACTTTGACTACCTTCCAAGCAGGGCCACCTGTAGTCACTGGTGTTGTCCAGCTTGACGAGCCAGTCACCCTTTCCACGACGACCATTTACGATCCTGCGATTCAGAACCCTGTCAGCACTACCGTCTATACCGGCGGCCCTACCGGCATCGTCTCGGTCACTGACCGTGCCGTGTACGTCACAAGCACATCGTATGACCTCTCTTTCACTGCAGAGGCCTCAACAACACTCACCACATTCCGACCTGGTCCACCAATTGTTACCGGACTCGTCCAGCTTGACGAGCCAGTCAGCCTGGCGACAACAACCATTTATGACCCTGCCATCCAGGTCCCTATCAGCACCACTGTCTACACGGGAGGCCCAAGCGGAGTCGTCTCGGTCACTGATAGAGCTGTTTATGAGACAAGCACATCTTACGACCTGTCCTTTACTGCTGAAGCGTCCACAACGCTCACCACGTTCCAACCTGGACCACCGATCGTCACTGGACTCGTACAGCTGAATGAGCCAGTGACTCTTTCGACGACTACAATTTATGATCCTTTGGTTGATACCCCCATCAGCACCACAGTGTACACGGGAGGCCCCAGCGGAGTCGTTTCAGTGACCGACAAGGCAGTGTATGAAACAACCACCAACTACGGAACACAGTTTGCCGAGCCGACCACGACGACTGTCGCATTGTTCAACGCCGGCCCACCTTTGACGCCAGGTACCGTTCGTGTTGATCAACCAGTGACCTTCACAACTACCACTGTGTATGACCCTCTGATCGACACACCAGCCTCGACGACAATCTACACTGGTGGGCCAAGCGGAACCGTCTCAGTGACCGACAGGGCGGTATATGAGACAACCACAAACTTTGGTACGCAGTTTGCAGCTCCAGCTACAACCACTCTGGCGTCTTTCACCCCAGGTCCCCCCATTGTGCCAGGTACTGTCCGTGTTGATCAACCAGTGGTCTTCACGACTACCACTGTCTATGATCCGTTGATTGATACGCCAGCTTCAACGACAATCTACACTGGTGGGCCAAGTGGAACCGTCTCTGTCACCGAGAGGGCGGTATACGAAACTATAACATCGTTTGGAACCCAGTTCGCTGCTGTCGCCACGTCTACCGTTGCACTCTTCAACCCAGGTCCACCTCAAGTTGCAGGCACAGTCGAGGTCGACTCGCCTCCTCAGCTCACCACCATCACTTCGTATGGAAACTTCCCTGCCGAAGCCACCACCACTAACTACGTCGATGGTGCGCCCACCGGGACTGTCGAGGTCGATGTCCCTGTGCAGTACACTACAACGACTGCATTTGGCGATTTCCCTGTCTCCACATCTTCGATTAACTACGATCCTGGCTCACCTTCCGGAACCGTGATCCAACAAGGTCCACTGTACGTGACAACGACCAGCTACGGTTTGGCCTCTTCTACAAGCACTATCGTCACAGGTAATCCGATGACGCAAGGCACGATTCTTCAAGTCCTCCCCGCGACCGAAGCTGTTCAAGCACCAATCGTAGTTGTCACTAAGTCCGTCGGCACTTCTCAGAGTGCTCCATTCGCGATCCCTGCGCCTCCCACCGATCCGGTCGTTCCACCAATACCTGCGCCGACTCAGTGTGGCAACCAAGGTCTTGCTTGGGCTGACTACGCGAACATTGGCGGTGGCTATGCTCCAGGCTACCCTACCTTCAGAGCCGCGGTAAGTGGTAACTTGCTCCATAATATGCGGAAAAGTCGCTAACGAAACACTGCAGCCTTATAAGACCATTACACCAAGACACCAAGGAGTGACCACCTCCATTGGCGGATTCTCCTTCAAGCCGATCGGTGTCACTGGTACACTCGAAATTTACAACGGCGTTGTCATTCCTAGCGACTACTGGGTAATCAACCACCAGGCTTACATCTACCCCGGCGTCTCTGGAGACTACACATTCACATCTTACAATGCTGACGATATTGTGCTCGTGTGGATTGGTCCAACCGCATATGCAGGCTGGACAAGAACGAACGCCATCTTGGAGCAAGTCTATGCAACTCCACCACAGGGCTTCACTGGTTATCCAGGTAAATCGCTCTCATACATATTGACAGAAATTGAACTGACTTTGCACAACAGGTGAACCCCCGGTCAGTGTTACTATCACACTCGAAGCAGGCGTCTACTATCCAATCCGTGTCATGGCCGCGAACGCTCAGTTGCAGGCCGAATTCCATCTCCTCGTCACCGCTCCGGACGGCACGGAGTTCTTGGGTCCCCAGACCCAGGCGTCGCCATACCTCGTACAGTACTCTTGCGATGAGACATCTGCGCCTCGATTCCCAGCTTTTGGTATGCAGCTCTAAGGAGCTGAGAGCCCCACATGATGATTCGACAACCTGGTCGACCTCTATCATCCATTTCCTAAAAATTCGAATCAAGACTGATAAACCGATGGGTTATGATTCTGAAATTAAAATTGTAATGCAGTTTGCGTCAAAGCCGTGTCGGACACAGAAACTTGTCCTCTCATACATATAATGTCAATAATCAACATACATCCACATCCGCCACACCATTCTAAATCGTGCTTTCTGCTCCGTCCTATGGTCCCTGCATTTCTTGCATTGCCACTCTGCGGCCTCGAGACATTGGCTACCAGCCTATGTATATTGACGAATACTTGACGTCTGTCCTTGGATGTGCTGAGAATCTGACAGTCATGATTGAGCTTTGCGAACTGACAGAGAATGTAGAAATGGGAGCATGATCATGCAAACCTAACGAGCTGACATTGTTCGATGTGGTAGAAGAATGCTAGATCAATTTTCACATGACTACGGTCGTCGAACAGGCACGATGCGACTGTTCCTGCAATAGATATCGACCAGACGAGACTAGCTATCGCTCGTACCGTGGCCTGTATGCAGTATTGAATCCATGTTTCACTCTTGTTGCGAGTACGTGCAAAAGTCCACCCACCTGGCTACCGACCACAGCTCTGGTGTAACCGTACGAAGCCCTCCGGTCCGTTCTCGTATCCGAATCTCCTTTGCCCTGCCATCCGCGGTTCTCATTCACCACCGAAGACTAACAAACTTTGCACGTTGACTCCACCAAAACCACGCTGACGCAGCAGGTTCCGTCCACGGTGAGCAGGGAACTCAGCTACGACGAGGACGTTCATCTTCTCAGTATCGATTCCCGCTTCAGCCAGGAGCTGTAGGACAGCACAGAGAGTCTCGCCAGTGGAAAGAACATCATCCACCACCACCACTCTATCGCCTTTGGACACCAAACCAACATCCATCTCAATGTTCTCCGCCATGGGATTCTCGGTCGCCGAAGATGAGACGTACGAGAGAGACTTTGTAACCGCGATCTTTGGATCAGGGCGTTCACCGTCTTTGCGTATCATCGCAAATGGCATATTGAGATGTGTCGCCAACAGTAGCCCCAGCACTAAACCGCCCGTCTCGCAGCCAGCGATCAAATCAACCTTCTTCCGGTCGCCGTTAAAATGCTTTTGCAATAAGGTTGTGCATAAATCTCGTTCAGGCGATTGCTGACAGATACCGAGTACATCGCGGAACGCAAAACCCGGACGTGGAGAATCATGTACCAGGCGGATCGAACGCCTGAGCTGTAGCAGATCGTCATCGAAGATAGGCAGGAGGTGAATTTCAGCAAATTTGATCGCTGCGTCCTTTCCAAGACCATCATTAGTGAAAACGAGGTTGGGGCAACTGTTACTGCCTTGATCTTCATCAGTGGCAGTGTCATTGGAATCGTCATCGTCATCTTCCAAAAATCCTCGTCGAGCTCGCTGCGTCTCTTTACTAGCTTTGACTTTCACTTCGAGCAGCCTGCTGTGGGATACCAGGTGTGAGAAGGCAGCAACCGGGGCTTCGTCTCGCATGCCGGTGATAAAAAGAACATCGACACCCTCAGCGTCGCTCACCACTTTCATAAAGTGCTCCTCGGCTAGTTGAGGTCTCAGATGTAGCTGATTTTCGAAGAATGCTGTCAAGGATCCTCGATGCTGCTCCTTGTACTTCCGATCCTCAAGCAGACGGTTGTAGTCCGCACTAGCCACCTCCGCATACTCTCGCTTGGTGGCGTTACTTATACTGACTGTGCGTGCCGTGAGCCCTTTGTGAGTGCTGGAACCAAAGACCGAGACCCATACAGCAGCACTATAGTCCTTGCCAGCGCCGTGTTCACCTGTGACCAGTACAATGAGCTTCGGAGTTCCCGGTACTTTCGGCAAGGGGCAAGTGTATGCTAGCACATTCTCTGGATCGTATTTCTGTTTGAGATGAGCCAAACGTGGGCGATTGGGCCCAAGGGCTTTGACTGCTAGATCAGCATCTCGAAGATCTGGCCCCAGGTCGGCGCTGTAGATTCCACTGCTTATGGGCAACAGTCCTTTGGCCACATCATACACCCACTGTGTGGTGCATCGGGCTATGTCGGTGTCCTCTTGGCTACGGTCCCATACGCCAGTGATCACACACGCAAAGTCCCAGTCTCGACACCCGAAAGCAGTGGTGACGTCCGATACCTCGCTGACTGCTCCTCCACCGTGCAAAAGATGGAAGTAGCAGTATGGGGAGGGACGAGATTTGAGTGCCGCAATCAATGAATCGACCATTCTTGATGCCGAGATGTCTTTGAGGAACAGACAACGCTTGAAAGAGGACGTCTTGCCGCCAGCATGATCTCCGTGCATTGCAGAAACATACATCTCAGTATCGAAGAGATCAACACCATCTACGATCTGAGAGCCGTTCTCGGGCCCAAATGTCTTTCTGACAATGGACAGCCATTCGCCTGTGTGCTCAGTCGTGAAGGTCTCGCAGAGACTGACTCCAAAACGCAGCTTGTCATTTTCGCAATACAGATATGCATCTGCAGAGCAATGCTGGGGAAGCTTGCTGGCGACAAGGTGATCAAAGTCCTGGAGCTTTCGTCGCGCATCAGATTTATCGTTCAGCGGCATGACCCAATTCTGAATAGCAAATTGTCGTGCAGGCGAGGCCTTGAAAGTGACGCTGACAGTGATTGCAAAGTTACTGCCGGCACCCTTCAATGCCCACAAAAGATCGCTGTCGCCGTCGATGCACTTTGCACCTTGTGGTTGATGGTCTTTTGGAACTTGGCCAACGCAGAAGACTTGACCAGAGGCAACACTGACCACCACGGCACCCAGAATGGCATCACACGTGAGTGAATGCAGTCGAGCCAAATGACCGATGCCACCTTGGAGCCACAGTCCAGCACCAACACTTGGCCGTGATCCTAGAGGTACTGTCAATTCTGCTGCCATGGCTGTTGCGAATCCATCGCCGGCCTTGCTGCCAGCTCCGACGACAATCACGGTATCTGACACTCCTGCAGCAGGAGCGACGATATGTATCTTATCGAAGGCCCCCATATCAACAGCAACTACATTTGGCTGGAGACAGTGACCGCTGTGTCCACCACCGATGATTGTCAGAGCAGTCTGGTTTTACAAAGCCCAACGAACGCAGTACTGCACATGCCTGATCTCTTGTGGCTTCACGATCAATGCAGATTGATGCTGTCGTGCCTCGCGGCTTTTGACCTTGTATTATGCAGGCGCCGTCGGCATCTTCGTCATCAGCTGAGGCAGAGAAGTTGCATGTCTTGTGAAGGCTACCATGATGTTGGGTGCGTCGAAGGAGAGATGATTTGGATGACCAGATTCACGACGACCGAGCAGTCGATATTCCTTCCGCCACTCCAATCGAACAGTTTCATCCTCTCCCTCATTCTCAACGACGACACCCGCGATGAAACGAGCAAAGCAGTCCAATTTTTTGTCGTCGTCTTCGACATGAAACACTCCCGTTGGGAAAGAAGCGGTTCGATGGCACATTAGACCATCGAGTTGTAGCGAGCTCTGCCGGTGGAATACAATGACCATGCCGTCTTCCAGTGACTTTGTAAGCATTTCAAGTGCTTTCTCCACAAAATCTCGCTTCGGTTCCATGCCATACAGGCTGTGGCAGAAGAGTATGACATCGAAGCCCTCTCCCTCGTGGTTCGCGTTCGTGCTTATTCTGGGATCCAAAGTGAACCGATGTCGACGGATGTCTGGTGCAGTCTGCAAGTTCGGTAGTGAGGATGAGAACTGGAACATGGAGGAGAAAGACTGTTCTAGTCTGGTGGCAAAAACTTTGTTGGGTTCGAAGGCAGAATATCTCTTGATCTTGCTTTTTTGACGATCAGGCAGTTCTGCGAGTACGCTTTTGGGACCGGGTCCAATCTCAAGGATTGAAACTTGAGTACGGGAGTTGAGCAGTGGCTCCAGCAAAAGAGATAGCTGGGGAATGATGAAGTCGTCGTAAGTTGCTTTGCCGAAGTCTTCGGCGAGTGCGGTGAAGCCAACATCGTATTCAAGGTCGGACAGCGGTCTCGTGGGAGACAGTGCGATTTCTGTGACTTTGCGACGGAGAGCGCTTTTGAGGGCATCGAGGGTCGCCATCTCGATCTTGTACGACAGTGGTGTGACTTCTACCAAAAGTTGAATTAGCATCAGTAATCAATTTGGAATTCGATGAAGTTGTTGAGCAAGTCAGTGCACAAAGAAGCCGTTTGCTCAGAAAAGTCCTAATCAAGCGTTCTGCACCCTTCCGGCCGGTCACGCAGCAAACGGGCAGGGGCTGACAAACACAGAAGATGAGTAGACACTAACATCCAGCAGATTGACCGACAATGCCCGAAATAGCTGTTGCAGGCGCGAAACTTCTCGGTAAGGGGCAGACTCCAATGGACTCCTGTGAGCACTCTTGTCTGCCGCCGACACTACTGAAACACATACAATTAGCAAACTCTTCACGGAGCTTGGTGCCGGTCGCCTGATCACATCAATCGTATGTCAGATACTTGTTGTAGAATTGTGCCCAGTGTACGCTTCATCTCAAGCCAAATCTGTTCAAACGACAAGCGCAATACTTGCTTTTGACAAACGGGGCTCAGGAAAGATACTTATTTCCCTGAGGCACCGTCCGAGATAGAGTGATACATCCCTACAGGCATACCACGACTTGCCATCATGGCCAGCACCGACAACTTCGTTTTGACCACTGAGAGGCTCATCGAACATGACAATACTGTTGCTTCAGTGCGTGGCCTCGATAGCCATGGACTGTCTACTCCAGAACATTCCAATTGTATTCAGAATATCAGGGCCGAGTCTGCGGAGCAGATCGCCGAGGTAACAAACCCATTGCTGACCCGATCGTCATTTTTCGAGGTTGACAGGTTGAGGCAGCCAAGCAGCGGCTCCGAAAGCTTCATGGGTGGAGAGTCTGAACATGCAAGCAAGCGCTTGGAAAAGATGCGTGGGGCCGTTAGAACACTGCTCGAATGTGTGGGCGAGAATCCCGATCGAGAGGGCCTGCTTGCCACTCCGTCAAGGTATGCGGAGGCTTTGTTGTTCCTGACACAAGGTTATCGAGTCGACGTCGAAAGCATTGTCAACAAAGCCCTGTTCCGCGAGGCTCACCATGAGATGGTCATTGTCAAGGACATCGAGATCCACAGCATGTGCGAGCACCATCTCGTCCCTTTCATTGGAAAGGTACTACTCCTCCAACTAGCGATCGTCATTCTGGTTCAAGCTGATAATTGTTCGTAGATGCACATTGGCTACATTCCGAATGGCGTCGTCATCGGACTTTCCAAGCTACCACGTATCGCCGAGATGTTCTCCCGTAGGCTGCAGATCCAAGAGCGATTGACCAAACAAGTGGCATATACTGTCAACGATATTGTCAAGCCGCAAGGCGTCGGTGTTGTTATGGAGTCCTGCCATTTGTGCATGGTCATGCGAGGTGTTGAGAAGACTGGTACTAGTACCATTACGAGCTGCGTCCTCGGTTGCTTCGATGAGTTAAAGACGCGCAACGAATTCCTGAGCCTCATTGGCGTGGCAAGAGCTTGATAAAGGCTTCAATGTGCTGTACAGCGTTGGATTGATTTTGCGAACGACGCAACCTTCTTCTATCTTGTCCTTTTCCGCTTGTTGATAATGAGAAGGGGGCATTGCACTCCTGGGTCCGAACATCAGCAATTGTAGTTGGTGGCCCTGCAAGATACAGTGTCAATTCTGCGTCTGCTCGACTTGATCCTAACATGGCACCGCCTTGAACGAGTCCGGTCAATGGAAGCAGAGGCATAGCATAGCACAATTTGTCTTTCAAGTGGCAAGAACGCGCCTCAACCCGAACTCAGAACACTCGCATTACTGCATAGGTCAGCGCAATTGCGAATTGCCGTAGTTCCAAATCCAACGTACACAGGAAACCTGCGTGACGCCATCCATGCAAGTAGCGAGACCACCTCCACAATGACACCAGACTAAAGTCTATGCGCTATCAATGTCTGTAGTCTTTTCGAACGAGTCATCGATATGCTCACATCGTCAGGACATTTTGCTTGACAGTCCTGTCTTTTCCCGAAAGTGGCGTCCATTGGCCCTCTGGGCGAGAAAGGTTCGGCAGCAACGCTGAGAGCAAACATGAACAGGGATGTAAATAGCGTAAAACTCTTCATCTTTTGTGGGTAGGCTCCTCTGCAGAGGGTATTCGATCAAGTGTCAAAGTCGGTATAATAAAGATGTCTGATTCTATAGAAGGTAGCGAACGAGCTGGCTCTATATACTACTGCCGGAACGGAAGAACCGGCAGTTAGGGCTAATTCCGGTTTATGCGAGGTGGCTGCTA